GTATCAAGCTCACGCTTCAGCTGTCTGTTTTCTTCAAGAAGATTGTTGATAACATCTCGTCTAGATGTGCAGAGTCCACATTCCATGTCCGGGTCAGCTGGCGGCTGGTCTAGGGCTGGCGGCGGCGGCGCCTGCGGCTGGTCTAGGGCTGGCGGCGGCGGCGCCTGCGGCTGGTCTAGGGCTGGCGGCGGCGGCGCCTGCGGCTGGTCTAGGACTGGTGGCGGCGGCGCCTGCGGCTGGTCTAGGGCTGGTGGCGGCGGCGCCTGCGGCTGGTCTAGGGCTGGTGGCGGCTGCAGCTGGTCTAGGGCTGGAAGCGGCGGCGCCTGCGGCTGGTGTTGGGCTGGAGGTGGCTGCCGCTCCAGTGGCAGGGACCTGCGCCTTACTTGCCGCTGATATCTCGCTTCATCTGTTTTTTGTACATCATTGTGGCCTAACAACAGGGATGGTGTCCAGTCAGGGTGGTTCTCCAACATCTCATATGCTGGTTTACCTACACGAGAATAATAACAACATATAATTAATATAATAATTTGCACAATCTATGTAATCAATGCTTTAAACTGGCAACTATGTCATGAACAGCATCTCAAGTACTTTTTAGGTCACCTCATAATGTCATATGAAGGTTTATGTACAACAGAATAATTAGATTATGTGTACAATCTATGTAATCTATGCTTTACACTGGCAAAGACCTCGCAGAACACGTGCTAAGTAAGAAACAGCCTGAGAGGGTAACAAAGACACAGAGACAAAGGCACTACAGAAACCATAATAACATGCTAACCTACACTTCCTAGCTTTAAGAGACAACTACATAAATACATTTTTAGAGAACGTACCAGAGTGAAAATGCAGAGAACACACTCTCGTCGACAGGGGTGTGTGATCGAAAGTAAGGTCCTTTCTTCTAATTGCAGCCAACCAAGCAATCCGACGTCTCCTTGTCAGGTCAGAGAATTGCTCCCCTTGATGCTTTTTCCATTTCGGTAACCTAAAAAACTGTATCCCGTTGTTACTAGGTTTTCCATATCCATCGTGGGAGGTATTGGAGCAGTTTTTAACGCAGCAGTTATTTCCAGGCATGATAAAACAGTGCGGAATAGCAAGAACCTCCGCTACTACCGCGTTCACAACACACGTAAACAAACTGTACTGCCGCCACCGGTGCGCAGCCAATATGTCGGCAAAGGGGGGATGGGGAGGGGGGACTCTGTGCCGTGACGTCAACTCCTCATTCTCAATAATAGCCAGCCCAGTTGAAAAAATGTGATCAATCATACGATGTAGAGTTCGAACGAGACTTGAATTTTGAATGGTGTGTGTTTTGGTTTTGTGATGACGTAACATCCGGTGTCTCCAGCCAATGGGCGCGCTGAGCCCGCCCCTCCAAAAAGGGGTCAGATGAAAAATGTATCGTAACCGTAAGTTTTGACTCGTAAGCGTAACTAGTGAATCGTAAACGTAACTTTTGAAGCGGAACATGAAAAATCAGAACCGTAAATGTAAGTTTTAATTTTTTTCATTTACAATATATTTTTAATGTTTACAATACTACAACCTACGATTACAATTCCTGCTTTACGGTTACGCTACAGTTTTTTCGTTTACAATATTTTTTTTATGTTTACAATACTTACAACCTATGTTTACAATTCCTGCTTTACGGTTACGTTTAAGCAGACCCTATTTTGACGCCATACACGCTGCTGTGTTTGTGCATTCCATTAAACAGAAGAATGAGAATAAATGTAGATATTCAAACGCAAATTGGAAAAAAAGGGCAACTTTTGAGCAAATAATTGTATATTAATACAATGGCACCACAGTTTAACGTGCTACGGACATGTTTTACATATTTGATCAAATTATGCAGCAAAAATTAACAAGCAATGCAAACATTTCTCAAAAACTTTAGATTTAATACCAGTTGGAGCTCCATTTAATTATTTTAATTATATTAACAATTAATTTAATTAATGCTAATGCCACACGGACACTCTGGATTGCTGTTATTGTTTATTTCCGCGTTTTTGACCGTATGTTTTGGTGAATGGTGGGCAACTGATTTTTCCAGGCGTAAAGAGCAGTTTATTTTATGACACAGATCTTTTTACAGAAGCAATGCTGTTTGTGAACATTGTTTTAGCCCACCATAGAACTATTATTATCTATTTAATACATTTACGTTGCCCTCGAGAGCCTCGGACGCGACACCGATCCTCCTCATAATAAAGTAATCTAACGCTAAATAATGAAACTCTCAAGTTACCAGCTATCAGCATACACAAGTTAGTACTGAGTAAATTACGCCTGTCAACACATTATGAGATACGATACGCACCTGACACAAAGTACTCCGAGCATATTCTTGCGTGTTTTGAGGGAGTTTCTTGCCTGTTTATCTTCGCAAGCCATAACCTCCGTCGTTGTTCTGACAAAAGCTTAGTCTTCTCACATTCATGAAGTCTAATGATGGGTATACTGTAAAATCCAAGTTTAACGGAACCTCCGGCACGATTTGAACATCCATTGACCCAGCAGGAGATGACCATTTTCAACTTTATCACGACATTAACACGTTTCAGCTTCTTTTTCTATTGTTTTGCCCACAGAATGCCAACACAAATGGCGCCGGGTCGGCAAATCCCCGTATGTAGTGACGTCATGTGGGAACTATGTATACATAGTTCCCAAACTATAGAAAAACAATAGAAAAAGAAGCTGAAACGTGTTAATGTCGTGATCATGGATGTATTATGGTCGTGATAAAGTTGAAAATGGTCATCTCCTGCTGGGTCAATGGATGTTCAAATCGTGCCGGAGGTTCCGTTAAACTTGGATTTTACAGTATACCCATCATTAGACTTCATGAATGTGAGAAGACTAAGCTTTTGTCAGAACAACCACGGAGGTTATGGCTTGCGAAGATAAACAGGCAAGAAACTCCCTCAAAACACGCAAGAATATGCTCGGAGCACTTTGTGTCAGGTGCGTATCGTATCTTATAATGTGTTGACAGACGTAATTTACTCAGTACTAACTTGTGTATGCTGATAGCTGGTAACTTGAGAGTTTCATTATTTAGATTACTTTATTATGAGGAGGATCGGTGTCGCGTCCGAGGCTCTCGAGGGCAACGTAAATGTATTAAATAGATAATAATAGTTCTATGGTGGGCTAAAACAATGTTCACAAACAACATTGCTTCTGTAAAAAGATCTGTGTCATAAAATAAACTGCTCTTTACGCCTGGAAAAATCAGTTGCCCACCATTCACCAAAACATACGGTCAAAAACGCGGAAATAAACAATAACAGCAATCCAGAGTGTCCGTGTGGCATTAGCATTAATTAAATTAATATAATTAAAATAATTAAATGGAGCTCCAACTGGTATTAAATCTAAAGTTTTTGAGAAATGTTTGCATTGCTTGTTAATTTTTGCTGCATAATTTGATCAAATATGTAAAACATGTCCGTAGCACGTTAAACTGTGGTGCCATTGTATTAATATACAATTATTTGCTCAAAAGTTGCCCTTTTTTTCCAATTTGCGTTTGAATATCTACATTTATTCTCATTCTTCTGTTTAATGGAATGCACAAACACAGCAGCGTGCCATCAAAGATGGCGTCTCCGAGGAGGTCATGTGACATTCATTGGTCTGTGGGAACTATGTATAGAGCGGAGGCATGGAGACCTCCAATCAGCAGCTGCCACAGTGTGCTTGTAGCTTGGCCTTCAGATAGACAAAACAAGGGAAAAGTACTGGCTTCTGCACATTGATAGAATGATGAGTTTAACTTTAACAAAAGTTGCTTCAAAGTGTTATGAAATCTCACATTCCCCCCTCTGGTCATACATTCACGTGTGACCATCAGGATCGATAAACAGCAACATAACATCATAACTCAATACTTCAAAACTCATACTTCACTCGGTACTTCAAAAAACTCAGAACTCGGAATACTTCAAAAACTCATAAAACATGTTCAGATCTTTCATAAAACTTGTCAACAATCTTCAGTAAAATACCAAACTTCATCAGTCTATGGTGGATCCAGATATTGCTTTGAAAACAGTCTCTCCCACTTCTCCATGTTGATTTCTTCAGGCTGCATTTGTGTCGAGCCATGAATTATTCTGTGACGTGTCTTTCAATCACACGTTTCAGCTTTAGTGTCCATATTCAGCAATTCAATTCAGTCCAAATTATGTCCAAATTGTGTAATCCAATTGTTCCAAATGGTGTCCATGCAAAAGAGGACGATGGTATTGTCCATGTCTCAGCAGCTCACAGCAGGCCTGACTGGAATCAGGGGCTGTGCAGATTGTCCATGTGCTGATCCAGATGCATGGTTTCTCTTGAGGTTTCTCAGTTTTGGCTTTAAAAAAAAACACTTTTTGTGTAAAAAAAAAAGTAGTCTTCTGTTCTCTAGATGTTACAGACAAGGCCCGCATCCTTCCACCACCTGAAGAAGATGGCATAGTCTGGGATCACGTCTTTCATTCAGACAGAAGACATGTTTTATTGTCGATGGTAGAGACAGCACGAACAACACGGACAGAGAATGCAAGTGTATTATACAGAGCGGAGGCATGGAGACCTCCAATCAGCAGCTTCCACAGTGTGCTTGTAGCTTGGCCTTCAGATAGACAAAACAAGGGAAAAGTACTGGCTTCTGCACATTGATAGAATGATGAGTTTAACTTTAACAAAAGTTGCTTCAAAGTGTTATGAAATCTCACACATGCACCATCCCTAATGCCTGTCACGTGTCTTTCGATCACGTGTCTAGCTAACTCCTCCAGGAAGCGATTCAAAACAATATAGAAGAAAGACAGTGGCGTTCATTGACATAAAACAACTTAGTAACGAAGGATTGCATCATTCTCGCGTTAGTAAAATGTTGTTTGGGGAATGCTAGGTTAGCTCTGTTCGAGTGTGCTGTATGCTAGCTTTGACCATCTACGTCAGAATATTATTGTAAAAGAAGAATGTCAGGACCAAACGGAGAGCCCGACATGTCTGCAGACGGCAGTATCATCGAGGATGAGGATGACTTTGATGATGAAGGTCTGTGCTGAGATGTTAGCTTTAGCTCTGTTAGCTAGCTGAGCTATACCTAATATTCACTCATCCTGTGCTGTTTGCTCCGCGTTACTACTGTTCTCTAACTTCTGATGCAACACTGACATTTCCCCATTGTGGGACATGTTAATCTTGATCTTTATGTCTGTACAAAAGTATCCGATGCTAGCAGGTTAGCCGGCTAGCTAGTTAATCGGATTTGTGTTCATGTCGAATTCGTTGATATCTAAACATATGAGTTCTACCCTGAAGTAAAGACTGAAACATTCTCATGTAAATAATGAAATAAGCCACGACATGTGTTGTATGTTCCTCATGGAGCAGACTGGGCCAAACTATGGTCCACGGGCCAAATGCGGCCCGTTCTGTCATTTTATGATGGCCTCTGCCTTGCTAACCTAAGCATTAGGGTACTTTCACAGTGTCATCCAGCCAACTTCCTGTACACCAACATAGTCACACTATATCTTAACTCAGAACCATTGGAATCTATTTGTATTTATCCTGTCATTTGGATTCTGATTGTCTCACAAAAGTCCATTTATGGCGCTAGTAATGTAGCTGTGTCCTGTATCCTTCCCCCTTTTGAAGCTCAGAACAGCCTGAATCGAGTCCACTTTTAGTCCATGTTGTCTGCCTCTGGACAAGTCTCTTTAACTCTGACTTACTAAAAAGACGGCACGTCCCAGCTTCAGACACAACTGTTATAATGAAGGTCAATCTTTCACTGGTATTTGGTTGGTGGTGGTCGGAGGGGCCGATGGCACATACTGGTTGCCTCGCTTCTGTCAGTGTGCCCCAGGGCAGCTGTGGCTACAGTAGTAGCTTATCACCACCGTGTATGGAGTGAATGAATAATGACACATGTGAAGCGTCTTTGAGTGTCCAAAAAAGCGCTATATAAAACCGATGCATTATTATTATTATTATTTCTCTTCTGCCCAGAGTACACAGCTGTCAACTCCATGTTGGATCAAATCAACTCTTATCTCGATGACCTAGAGGAGAAGAATGACTCACTCAACGGAAAATTACATGAACTACTGGAGTCCAACCGACAGGCGAGGCTTGAGTTCAGAGCCCAAAGGGATGAGACCCCTGTCCCCGACTCAAGCAGCACAGAAGAGTCTGAGACCCAAGAACCACTCTCCAATGTCAAAGACAAGGACTAGGCTTTTCATGTTTTTATCAGACTCCCCCATGTCTAATATGTCTTGTCTTGTCTTCGTAGATTCTGATATTTGGTTCTTCGATACCACACAAATATGACATAACTAGATTGGTTTGGTAAAGAACCAAATAGATGCAAATCCATATAGAGGCAAAGTGTGTGTGAAATCTGTCATTGCTGGACTATAAGCCTCTTCTTTTCCACTTTAATTAAATTCTGCGGCCTATTTGTGGCCATTGGATGCATTTTGACTGTGGTAGATTCTAAACTTTAAGTTTATGTGAACAGCAGGGACATGTGCAAAATAAAACATTAGGGCTGTTGTCAGAGCACTTTATGAACTTATTTTGACTCCATCCAGGTTTTTTCGCTGTAGGTCCTAGACAGTAAATGTTAAGTAGGTTATATGTTAACTCTGTAGGACGCACAGATATTTTCAAGATTGATAAGTGGAGAGCTTTGTTAGCTCCTAATGCTAACAGGAGCTTATGTTAGCCTCCTCAGACTGTTCTTTGAATCTTTGTATAATCTGAAGTTCCTTCAATAAATCGTGTTTTCAGTTAAAACAATAGTCTGATTTGTTTTACAACATAAAACCCGGGGATATTTTAAGAGAGGCCCGAACGTGGACATAGTGCGGTTTAAAGTCCAGCAAGCACTGCATGTGACCAATTAATATATATTGTTAATTTAGGGAGTTAAAACATGACTATAAAAAGTTCTTTAGGAATATAATTAATGATACGGATTGAGAAAAACATGTACATTATAGTTGTCGGCAACAGCTTTGTAAAGTACTGCTGTGATTTACGGCCATGCAAAAAAAGGTATGGAATTCCATGGTTTTGTCTTGTGTTCAAAACAAAATTACATTTGTAAGGTCTGGGTCTGAGGTCTGGGAAATGGTTATTTTATTAAAACAAACTTCAAACTATAACATTAAAAACTCGTTTGTCACCAGTCGATTTCAATCCGTCTTGAGCTACAAAATGATATTGTATGTACATTATTGTCTGAATATGGTCTGGACTCTCATGGGACTGAGAACAGTCAGGATTCTAATGTCAGCTAAAGAAAAGACTGGACCTTAGTCACAATAAAAAAATAAACATTCAAACTGCAATGGAGGAGTTTGCGTTACACTAACACTAGTGTAGATTTGCACATTTCATCTTTAAATACGAAAATAGTCAACTTAAAATAAACCCTAATTTACCAGAAAATGTGTCGATACCGTTTTGTACCGACTGTAGAGCGACTATAGAGTCTTGGTATCATGATTAAAACGGTTTCAGCGACTTCAGCTAACGCTACAGAGGGACTAGCGTCTGGCTCTCGTGGTCCTTCGTCTCGGCTTCGGACCTTTCTTCCCTTTCACTTCTGTTTCTTCTTCTACTGTTTCGTCGGTTGAGATGCAGGGAGCAGTATCACTGGTCACTGTGTCAGTCAGAGCTGCGTCTACAGCAGCTGGGTCTGTTGCATCTGCGTCTGTTGCATCTGCGCCTGCAGCGGCTGCATCTGCGTCTGTTTTGAAGGTGATGTCTTGCAGAGTCTCTTTAGTCTGTGGTCTCAGCTCCTGTGGCTGATCTGGGGTCAGATCTGCAGTGGGACGAGGAGAGCAGGGGCCGGACTCTTCATCTCTTGCTTCATGTTTTTGGTCCGTTTTGGATCTCTAAAAAAAAAAAAAAAAAAAAAAACAAGAACCTGGTTTTAAACAAAGAATGCAAAGTAAAACTTACACGTTGTATTTAAAGCATTCAAACCAACCTTGAGGTTTTCAAAATGTTCCAGAGATTTGCAGTGCGAGTGCAGACTGGAGGACTCAAAGTGGTAAAACTTATTACAGAGTCTGCAGATAAAACCTGCTACAGGGACCAAAAAACTCCCTCCTGTTGGAACCAACAAAAGAGGATTTCATATTATTAGAATTCCACATTATTTTAGTCGAACAAACGCACAGACAAATATAAACCAGATCAGTAAAACTCCATTATTCATGTCCCGCTCAAATCCAAGTCTCACAGTTTAAAATGAATTAAAACATTTATTGCCGATTTAAAAACTCATAACACCTCTGGAAATACTGTTTAAACAAACAAAATGTACGCTGTATCAGAAATGTAAAGTTAGGTACCCCAGCTTTAATTTTGAGTTTGAAGAACCCTGGACAGGACTTGTTTGGAAGCATTGTTTAAAAAAAAAAGCGTTAGGACAGAAGGGGCGGGGAGCGACTTTCATTTATATGATTAAAATAATGGGTCAAACCTGGACCTGACTTTGGAACCATGTTGCATAAAAAGTATCGATACGTAGAAGAAGAAAAGAAAGGAGGAGGTGCTCACCGTAGAGTGTGTCAGGGTCGTACTGGACTGAGGCGTCCATGTTCTCCGCTGTCACTTCTGTAGATGTCGTTCCAACCTGAAAATAGATTTATTTAGTCACAGCTCCATCAGCTGTTGATCTCCAGAGCAAATGTTTATGTGAACAGCAGAGACACAGGCCTGGTGTTTATGTGATTAGGGCCGTTCCCAGAGCAGAGTTCTTATCATTTTGACTGTAAAGTTTTAGTAGTGATAGGACGCACGTTTGTTGTCACGAGTGACTGGAGGACTTCAAAAAGTGGGTCAGAATCCAACGGTTGGAGGCGCTGTAGCTAGCTCCCACAGGAAGCTAGCTACAGCATGTTAAAGCTAATCCATTCACCTGTTTGTCCGACTCTGCTCGATCCTCCTCCTCAGAGTCAGCCCCCTCCTCTTCCACCAAAAGTCCATCTGGGATCTTCGTCTGGTCCATGCAGCCCTCGCCTTCATCGTCCTTAAACACAGATTTAAGGTTAAGCAAACATAAAATGGGACAAAGTTAGGAGAACTTTACCATTTCCACTTTCTTCCGGTGCTCGGCGCTCTGCAAATGCTTTAGAAAACTCTGAGAAGACTTGAAGTTCTTGTGGCAGATGGTGCAGGAGGAAACACACATTTTTCTCGCAATCTGAGGAAGAAATGAGTTTCCAGTTATTTAGAAAACTATCCACACAGCAGATAGTAATGATGGGGATCGCGATAGTTTGCACCACAATTAATAATCTTTACAGTAAATATTTATCAAATAATGATCCGTGTCATGTTTTCTCATAATTTACATGAGGTTTAGGTCGGCTTCTGCTACCACGAGTCTGTGGTATTTTAATAATGACGTCTGTCCTGAGGGTTCAAGGATCACTGTCTCACTCCTCCCACCTCAGAGTTCATGTGCAGACCATTAGTTGAGTTTGTTTATTTGAGCATCTAGAATACACATAAAACAATCATACAAAAGAGAAGCACAGGAAATACAACCGCCCAAAAGAGAGTCGAGTTAATGCCTCGTTTGTCTTAATGCCTTTGAATAATATACATAAGAGGGGCATAAATCGTAACATCTCGCAGAATCGAATCGGAATAAAGAATCGCTCTAATACTTGCTGTAGTGCAATAAATTAATATATTTGTGGCCCAAATACCATGAAATGATCCCATTTTTACCCATTCCCAGCCTTAGCGACTCTTACTTTGTGCTCCTGGGTTTGGCGGTGCTCCAGAATGCTGCAGGTGAAGTCTGTGTGGCAGCTCGCACACCAACGCTTCCACTCATTCTTCTCACTGTGAAAACAACAAATACACAACAGTTGGAGAGAAACACAATCCAATGTTTCTATCCGGGAAACGCACCCGTCCTTCGCGGCGCCCTGCAGCGTGTCGTGAAGCCGCGGGAGCAGAGTGACCAGGCAGGCGTTGCTCATGTGCTGTATCTCCATCATTCTCTGCTGGTGGGAAATGCTGTTCATGTGGTTTCGGAAATTCTACAACAAAAAGAAGCAAAAACAGGCGTACGGTTTGACACACTAAAGACTGAAGAATGACCCGGGTCCAAATGTGTCTCACGTTCTGGGTCGGACACGTGATGCTGCACAGATAGCAGTAGTACTTGTTGGGGCCCTCGTCCACGCCGTCTTCTGCCACTTCCTGGTTTTCGTCAAGCAGATCCTCGTCGGGCGGGGCCTCCTCCGCGGGGGCATCCACAGACCGTTCCACAGGGTCAGGTGGATATTCTTGAGTCTTCAAGAACAATGGTAACACAACAACACACCTTCTGAAACTTGGACTATAAGTCTCTCCATTTTTCAATTTAAATGTGTATAATATAGTATTTTATCTTGATCTGATTTATGTATGATCTGTTGATCTGATTTATGTATGATCTGTGTAGCGATGTAGCCTATGTATGTATTTATGAATGTAAGAGCCACCGGAGCAAAGGAGCGGATTTGTACAACCTTAAATCAGGAATGAACTGACCGAGTGCTGACATCATCATAGTGAGCTAGCTGTATCTAATTTCCTAATATGAATGCTAGCTGTTGCACTGTAACAGGGGGGGACGTTTTGCTAAGATGGTTGCAACGGCAATCTCAACTTCCCTGTTGCGGCTTAATTGAGCTAGCGAGTTAGCATTGTCCATCTGTAAACAGTCTACGGCTCTATCAGCAGCAAATCTACATTCCTGCTTCCCGTGTGTTTATGTGAACAGTAGAGAGACGAGGAAATACACAGGACTGAATAGGACTGTTTGACTTTTGAGTTTCTGTAGCTTTTGTCTATCATTGTCAAAATGTCACCAGAGGGCTTTGATCGTTCCAAGTCTGAAAACATCTTGTCATTAAATAATGAAATGTAAAGTTAGTGTCCAGTTAAAGAGTGGTCTATCTGCTTTGTTTTTCTCCTTCGGTGAAGTGTAACAAATCTGCGGCTTATATTCAAGAGTAGCTTAAATCTGGACAAACATAACTGGTGCGACTTTAGAGATTTTATACTTAATTATTTTTGATTTTCTTCCTTATTATGCCTTTTTTATTAAGACTATGTCTTTATTATTCTAAATTAGAGATTTGTATTTTATTTTAGACTAGAGTGATGCTTCATATATCTGATGATGCAACACTGGAATTTTCCCAGTGTTCATCTTCATCTACAAACAGCTCTTAGAGTTGAGAGTGAGAGTGTGTGTCTGTGTGTGTGTCACCTCTGCTGCGGTGCCCGTGTGGTCTGAATCCAGCACCTCTGAGCCCACAGTGGAACCAATTTCTATTCAAAAATAAATAATCACATTTAACATGAGCTTCTGGATCAAAGTGTTTGATAATTTTACCTTCGACATCATCGTTGTTTGAAGACAGAATCTCTGCGTCACTTGTGCAGGGGACACGCTCCTCCTCGGTGTCATCAATTATCTCCTCGATCACCTCAGAGCTAAAGAAACATCACCACAGAAGCCATTAAAACAAAATGGCGGCCCCGCTCCCATCTTTGTGCGAGTCAGAGACAAACGTAAAGGTCTGTGTGACTCTGGTCTGGGAAAGGCGCTATATAAACAAACATTACTTACTTCATATCTAGTCGTTCTCTTAACTTTCTTACAGATTGTCAAGTTGTGTTAATACTTTTGTTTTTACTGTTGCCATTTTCCACTTTGGGAACCCTGTGATTTACAAATGTATAATGATGGTGTGTTTTTAACCGCTGTGTTTCCTGTGTTTGGACATTAATACTGTGCAGGATGGATCTCCTTTGACATGAAGTTTAATGTGTACAAACCTGTGCATTTTCTGCTTTTTGAAGTCCGGTGGAACACTGTACTCATCTGTTATTGTGTAGCACCAGTTATCATTATCACTGCGTACGTGGCCTAGGAAGAACACACACACACACAGAGAGACACACACACGTTAGAGCTGCCATTTCCAACAGTATAATAGTAAAATACCAAGTGTGTGGTTGAGTTACCACCGGCTCCATCGGCCTCCGTCGCGGTGCTGGGTCCGGGTTGATCTTCATTGTTCTTCAGTGGAATCACAGAAACCTGTTCAATGTCTCTCTTCTCCGGCTGACGAGCTACAGCCGCAGCCGCCTTTAGAGGATTCAATCAACACAGGCGTAAACACAGGAATATCCGGACTATAAGCTGCTGCTGTGTTCTGGTTCTGTGATCTCTGCAGCTTATACAGTGGTGTGGCTAATGTGTGTATTTTTAATGTGGTAGAGGTCTCTCCCTCTGGTCTCTCCCTCTGGTCTCTCCCTCTGGTCTCTCCCTCTGGTCTCTCCCTCTGGTCTCTCCCTCTGGTCTCTCCCTCTGGTCTCTCCCTCTGGTCTCTCCCTCTGGTCTCTCCCTCTGGTCTCTCCCTCTGGTCTCTCCCTCTGGTCTTTGGTGGTGCGGCTTATCTACAGGTGCGCCTTATAGTCCAGAAAGTCCTTCAGAAGTAGTTAGAAGAGAGTTGTGTTGACATTACCGGAGTGCTGGAGGTGGCGGGGGAGGGGGAGGGTCCGGGAACACTTTGGTTATTGTTGTAGTAGCGAGGTTGGTGAGGGTTATACGGGGGTCTCGCAGGTGGGAAGCCCATCATGGGAGACTTTATGGCCACGCCCATCGGCATGGGCCCAAGCAGAGAGGAGCGAGCCCCGGCAAAGAACTGACGAAACTGCTGCCCGCCCATTCCAAACCCTCGCATGTTCCCTACAGACGCCATGAGGAAAAACACCTGGTTTATCATCACACACAAAGATACAGCGAGACTTAGTCTGAACAAAGTCTGAACAAAGGGCCGGTGTCGCTGCAGGAGGTCATTCCAGTGGTCCTGAAGAGTCTGCTGCAGTCCTGAAGAGTCTGCTGTGGTCCTGTTTAGTTGGAAGTGTGTATTTACCGTGCTCTCACTAATGTCCTCTGTGCACTGCAACACTGACATTTACAGTGGGACAAAGGCTCTTCTCTTACCTTGCATCTGCTGCATCATCATGGCCCCTTGGAGCATGGGATTGGGAGCGATGATGGTGGTCTGAGTGGTCTGGCATAAGTTGACCATCCTCGAAGGTGGGACTGACTGAGGCATTACCGGCATAGGTCTGTGTGAAAACATAAATATTAAATCATATACAATCTATTATAATATATATTTATTATTCTATTGTATATAGTATATAGTATATTATATATATATATATATATATATATAAAATTTTATTTTTTTTGTTGAAAGATGCGCTGATAACGGCTGCAAGTCCTTAGTAGCTCTGATTAACAGTTGTTTTGTGCTTTACAATTTTTATTGCTTTTTTTCTGCCTGAGATGTTGCTTCAGTACAATGTGCAAAGTCTTGCACTGGTCCAGACTGGAGCAGAGAGGATTCATGGTCCAAACCAAGCGGATCAGGTGAAAATCCACTGAAGGAATGGCAACTTTTTGAAAAATGCTAATGAAGCATTTAGCATTTTACTTTGGACTAGAGCAGAGAAAATGGTCCAAACCAAGCAGCTACTCCACCTTTTGACCTCTCCTGCTCCACCCAGAGACTACTCCAACTCTGCTGGTCTGACCCATCCAGCTCCACCCAGAGGCTACTCCATCTCTGCTGCTGTGACCTGAAAGGCTGCGGCTGATTAATACTATAGTTATCTTTTTTTAGAATGATCAATTTTATTTTTTATTTTTGCTAATACTGGACACCTGAATTTCTCCTTCGGGGATCAATAAAGTATCTATCTATCCATCTATATTTATTATTATATTATATATTCATTATTATATTGTATGTTAGGAGTGAGCTGACAGAGAGCTGATGTCATAGTGTTAGCCCTAATGCAGAGGATGTTTTGAACATAAGATAGCTGGAGCCAATTTTCTTCTATGGGCACTGCTTCCGCAGCATCAACTTCATCTGGAGGTGGAATAAAACCCGGGGCCTTCATCACAGACCTGTTTTCAAAGTTGTAGCTGACCCGAGACCAGTGGACACAGCTTCACTACTTGATGGTCCACAAATAAAGCACACTTTTCCACAACTGAACCAGAATTAGTCCAGTTTAATGGAAACAGACAAATGTGAATGTCACAAGTTGTAACTGAACCCATAGCCTCCTGCTGGGACCCTGAGGAGCACAGGGACTGGCCTCCTGCTGGGACCCTGAGGAGCACAGGGACTGGCCTCCTGCTGGGACCCTGAGGAGCACAGGGACTGGCCTACTGCTGGGACCCTGAGGAGCACAGGGACTGGCCTCCTGCTGGGCCCAGAGTCAGGACTAACAGACGGGGAGGCAGCGTTTCAGATTAAACCTGGAAATAGCTAAACTTGGAACAATCTCAAAAATGTGAGACAGGCTTCTACTCTTCTTCTCTGACAATGTTCAAATCAATCTTAAAAACAGTTCTGGTACAACCGAAGGTTTGGATATTCACTCTTTCTAAAGTACTGTGATTATTATTTTAATGCATTTTGAGACTTTGGTGTTTCAATCCTATCTAGCAAAGCACTTTGAGTTGATTTCTGCATAAACTGTGCTATACAATTAAACTTCCCTTGCCCTTCCAGACAAACAGAAAGACTTCCACCAAACACCACTCGGACAGAGTTGAAACCCCTCAGTGACCGGGCTCCAGTCTCAGACAAAGCCCTGACCTCCCCGTTCCCCGTGCATGCAGTGATGGCTCTTTACCGTGGACCCTGGTGCGGGTGAGGGACATGGCGACCCGCGGGGGGCTGAGCAGGGGGAGGAGGCTGCTGCTGATGGAAGAGCTGATGAAGTTGACGTAAATGCTGCTGAAACTGCTGCTGCTGCTGCTGCTGCTGGTGCATGTGCGGGTTAAACATCGCGGCTGCTTTTCTGAGCGTGGATTCCAATTATTAAATAAATAGTAGTGGTCTCAGAAATTCAAACACGCCTAGGGAAGAAAGTGAATGGATTAGTGTCAGATCGAACCACAATGGGACACGCGTGTGCACCTGTTCCACACAACAGGTCACTTTATTATCAAAGACGTCATTAAAACATCACATTTGGCTAAAATATACAATAAACATCGTCCTCAGAATGATCCGTCGTGAGTTTGACAATCAATACTCGAAATAAACTGAGAAATGGGGAATGACCTGGCAACGCTGCTATAAACAAATGTTAGCTTAGCTCGTGTTAGCATCGCGAGGCCAGCTAGCTTAGTGCACTTTGGAATTCAACATACGGCCCTGTGCTTTAGTGGACATGAACACACACTGAAGAGAAGGTTTACTACAGCCTTACATTGTTATAACTCTGTGGAATGAGCTCCTTTTAGTCCCGGTGCCGCTGCAACTCAGCAGAATGTCCCGATACGCACGAAGTCTGCGTCGGTCACGTCACTGCGGGCGCCCTCCAGCGGCAGCACACGGAACTACTCCTCAAAGAATCTACTGCCATTTACAGTATTGAAGTGAAATAATTAAACTATTAATAATATATCTTTATTTTGTATACCCCCTTTCAAAAACAGTGTCTACAAAGTACAGCACGGTCCGCATAAAATAATATAACGGTAAGTAATAAATAAGATTAAGAATATCAAAATGAACAAAGTCAGGGGAAAAAATCAAAGGGCACACAACAAAAAAGAGGGAGAGAGAGAAACACAGAGAGAGAGGGACTAGAAAGAGCGAGAGACCAGGAAGAGACCAGAAAGAGACCATAGAAAGACTATAGAGACCAGAGAGAGACCAGAAAGAGACCATAGAAAGACTATAGAGACCAGAGAGAGACCATAGTGAGACCAGAGAGAGAGACCAGAGAGAGACCAGAGTGAGACCAGAGAGAGAGACCAGAGAGAGAGACCAGAGAGAGACCAGAGAGATACCAGGAAGAGACCAGAGAGAGACTAGAGAGAGACCAGAGAGAGACTAGGAGAGACCAGAGAGAGACCAGAGAGAGACCAGAGAGAGACCAGATACCAGAGAAATACTTTACAAGTGAATCAAACTGTTGTCTAGCACACACACTAAAGCTATAGATCCCTAAAAACACAATTAAAACAAAATTTCTGCATATTCGCCTTTTCAGGAGAATCAATATTGTTGTCGCCCCCTCGCGGTATTTGGGCGCAACTGCACAGATCCGTTGACAGGAGGAGCTCATCCTCCTCCTCCTCCTCATCCTCCTCTTCATCCTCCAGATCCCGGTGCTTGTAGAGGAGCTGACACACACATAAACACACACACAGAGACAAACACACGCACACACACTGCAGAGGAGAGCTCCAAATGGAGAGGGCCCCTGCTCACATCTGATCTTTCTGCAGCGTCATTACCGTCTCTGAATCGTTGAAGGACACCGACTCCAGTCTGATTCCAAGATGGGGAACCGGGGCATGGAGGACCTGATCCCTCTGGTCAACCGCCTGCAGGACGCCTTCTCGTCCATCGGGCAGAATGCGGTGCTGGACCTGCCTCAGATCGCGGTGGTCGGGGGCCAAAGCGCAGGGAAGAGCTCGGTGCTGGAGAACTTCGTGGGGAAGTGAGTAGCATTAGCGCCTCCGTGTGTGGCAGAGCCCGGTTTAGCTTCGGCTTTAGCGGATGCGATCACAACAAGAGGCGAGCACCTTTAACTGCTTAGATTAGACTGTGTTTGACCGCATGAAGGAGGTAAAGGCAGGTTTATCTGTATGGCACAGTTCACACACAAGGTAAATCACAGTGGGTCACAAAACAAGACAAGAATCAGTGAAATCACAAGAGGTGTTTAAAGACAGAGAGAGAGACCAGAGAGAGACCAGAGAGAGAGACCAGAGAGAGAGAGAGAACAGAGAGAGAGACCAGAGAGAGACCTGAGAGAGAGACCAGAAAGAGAGAGACCAGAGAGAGACCAGAGAGACACCAGAGAGAGAGAGACAGAGAAAGGCCATAGAGAGAGAAACCAGGGAATGAGAGACTAGAGCGAGAAAGCTCAGAGTGAGAGACCACAGAGAGCATGAGAGACTAGCAAGAGAGACCAGAGAGAGAGAGATAGAGAGACCATAGAGAGAGACCAGTGAATGATACCAGAGAGAAACCTAAGAGAGAGAGAGAGAGAGAGAGAGAGCAGTAAATCCCTCTACATTTACTCTGAGTCTTCTCCCCCGCTGTCATAGTTTGGCTAACACCATAGATCCAGGTGCAGACTCTGCTTCCTGGTTTCTTCCTGGTTCCTTCCTGGTTCCTTCGGCCTCACTGCAGCAGTGATTGATTAAACGCACATGACCTTGTTGTGAGAAAAGAGAGATAGAGTTTACCTGAGCCCTGAGCTGCATCCATCTGTCTCAGGACTTAGACTGAGAGGAAGCTTACAAACATGTGGCCACAACCAGGGCCGATGTAGGCCGACTCAGGCCAAACCGGACCATCCGTGTCTCACATCCACAAGGTCAGGGTCTGGCTCTGTCATCGGCCCCTGCAGAGACACAAGAGTGCACGATAATATGCATGTGTGTGTAGTGCCGTGAAGTAGGAGCCGTGAGGCAGGGGAATGAGGCTGTAGACCCAGGACTGAGGCTGTAGACCCAGGACTGAGGCTGTAGATCCAGGACTGAGGCTGTAGACCCAGGACTGAGGCTGTAGACCCAGGACTGAGGCTGTAGATCCAGGACTGAGGCTGTAGACCCAGGACTGAGGCTGAGGTCCAACAGACGCAGGTCACACTAAAGCCAAAGCAGCCACATGGCCTCAGCACTAATCCCCGTCTCAGTCGTTAAATGTGTTATTACCCACACATGGACTAAAAAGTAAAACAGTCGCAGTAATAACTTCTCCGCAGACTGTTTGATGTCAGTAAAATCTGAATTGTTGATCGTGTAAAACCCTGATGTTTGTCCCGGAGCCATGGAGAGTGTTTCTTTCACTGGTGCAAAGCAGTGCACACAGTAGGGTTATATAAAACCTCCATCCCTGCCATAGACTGTTTACAAAAGGACGATGCTAACCCGCTAGCTCATTGAAACCCAATAGGGAAGTGCTCAGGGACAAAGCTTTGCTCCAACTCGCTCTTGCTCTTATTGACTTACATGTAACAGTAAACTCAAAGCTAACGCTGTCGGAACAATTGTCCATATAAGGAACATCAGGAAGCTCTGGCTAGCTTCTGTTCTGCTTCTTCTGCATTCAGGCTAACACTACATGATCCATTGACTAGTAAAGATTCTGTGTTTTTTTACAAATGCTTGTTGTAGAATTTGGCTATTATCTTTTTCATCAGGCACCACATGGTTTACAACTGTCTGCCTCTGTATTTTTTCTTCCCATGAGTTTAATTATCTACCAGCAAAAAAAAATCAGATTTCCTTATCCCCAGTGGCTTAAGACAGCGACAGCTCACATATAAACAGGTGGAAGTAGGGTTAGGCTTATACAAGTAGTATGTATATTTCAATTCAACCATAAAACAATAAAAATAGACATTAATTAATAGTTTATGAATCTGCTGCAGAGAAAAATGACTCTTGTAGTAACAGAGAGTTTCAGCACCACGGACAGCGCTTTCTCCGAAATCAAGTTGGACCAAAGTCTGTGTATTTGGAATGGAGTGACTAAGCGTGACATCACCACAGTGTTAGCATTAACGCGGGAAGCTAGCTGGAGCCATTTTCCTTATATGGGCAAGTCTTCTGCGGCGTTAGCTTCGCTCTGTAACAGACGGTTGCTAAGACGGTTGCTAAGACGGTTGCTAAGGCAAACTGGAGCCTCCCTCGTGAATGAAGAGATCTGATTGATCTGGATTTACAAAGACAGCATCACAGAGAGCGCTAAAGCCCAGAGCTCTGCTAGCGTGTTAGCATTGTCCATTTGTAAACAGTCTATGGCCTCTTTACTTCCACCAATCAGAACTCAGTATGAAAAAGTGATGTATGTTTCTGTGTCTGAGATTTGTTCACTACGTGTAAGACAGTGGCACAAACAAAATGTATTCATGAAACCAAAGAAGTTAGGTGCTCCAGCTTTAACTGAGCCATGTCGCTGCTGAGGAGGTTTTCTGTGTTTTCCTGATTGCACCAAACATGAAAGACAAGTTTATCTGTATAGCGCAGTTCATACAAGGCAACTCAAAGTGCAGAACAAAACACGATAGAAGCAATCACACACTACTGCTGCTATTGCTACTGCTACTGCTGCTGCTGCTGCTGCTAATGCTGCTACTGCTGCTGCTGCTACTGCTGCTACTGCTACTGCTACTGCTACTGCTGCTACTGCTACTGCTGCTGCTGCTGCTGCTGCTGCTGCTGCTGCTACTGCTGCTGCTGCTACTGCTGCTACTGCTACTGCTACTGCTGCTACTGCTGCTACTGCTACTGCTACTGCTGCTGCTGCTGCTGCTGCTGCTGCTACTACTGCTACTGCTGCTACTGCTGCTACTGCTACTGCTGCTGCTGCTGCTGCTGCTGCTGCTGCTGCGTGAATGCACAATTGTGAAAGTGCCACCAGGACTGTATTCCCTTCCCCCACAGAGATGAAGTTGATGATACAGAGACACTGTTACACAACGATACCTCAGCCTCTGACAGAGGCCGACCCTGGTCTGGGCCTATACTTAAATATTAACAAATATATCTGTAAAATACACACAACATGTGTGTTTGCTGATCCCACACATCACTGTCTCTTTAGATCCTAAATGTCTGTGATTATTGATCAGTGATAGTGTGAGAACAGCACAGACAGGTCTGTTTGAATGATCAGGGCTGAGGATGTGTCTGCACCAGATTATCTCTAATCCCATGTTTGGGCCACGCTTTCCCATTGGCTCCTTCTTAATCTCCACCTCTAAGCAACACCTCGCCTCATTGGTCCTTGTCCCCACTGCATCCACAGCCATTCAGAGACCAGAGGGAGACCAGAGAGGGACCAGAGAGAGACCAGAGAGAGAGACCAGAAAGAGACCAGAGAGAGACCAGAGAGGGACCAGAGAGAGACCAGAGAGAGACCAGAGAGAGACCAGAGAGAGAGACCAGAGAGAGACCAGAGAGAGACCAGAGAGAGACCAGAGAGAGACCAGAGAGAGACCAGAGAGAGAGACCAGAGAGAGAGACCAGAGAGAGAATACATTTTTTGGAGGAATTAACAAAGTTGTCGATTCACCAACACAGATCAGAGAAGCAAACAGTGAAACAATGAAAAACACACAGAGCCGTTGGTCCAAAGGGACAGAGACAAATGTCCACAAATGTCCTGGATCATCTCCGCTGTCCTTCGACCCGCCTGCCTCCTCCTTGTTAGAGAGACACAAAATGGCGCCCGGTCTCATCATGTTGTGTTGTTACATAATGGAGGCTTTGGGCGGTTGGTGTGAAGACCCGTCCACACTTCATCATGAGCTCTGGGAGAATGCAGCCATCACACATCATTCACTGTGGAACATTAAGAGCGACCTAGTGTTGACATTTTGATATTGTGTTTGTAAATCCAGATAAGAACTGACCAATCAGATGCCTTCATTCTCTGGGGAAACGCCCTCCTGCCTTAGCAACCGTCCAAGCAACACGTCTGCTCCTATTGCGATGCAAATTTATCAGAAGAAATGTCATAAGAGGAAAGTGGCTCCAGCTAGCTTATGCTCAAATCTGCTTCTGCCGCATTCAGGCTAACACAGTGCCTCTTGGTGGTGGTCTGTGCTCTACGAGTGCGTTTCTAACATTGTTTTTTGTGCGTCAGAGACTTCTTGCCTCGTGGATCTGGGATTGTGACGCGTCGTCCCCTAGTGCTGCAGCTCATGAACTGCCCCACAGGTGACACCACATCTGTTCCAGACCAGTTTGTCTCACACAAACCCATGATCAATATATCCCTTAATGTGGTTCAGACCCAGACTCACCCAGACCCAGACCAGACCCACCCAGACTCATCCAGACCCAGACCAGACCCACCCAGACTCACCCAGACAAACTTAGACCCACCCAGCCCCACCCAGACTTACTCAGACCCACTCAGACCCACCCAGACCCACCCAGACCCACCCAGCCCCAACGGGACCCACCCAGACCCAATCAGACCCAACCAGACCCAACCAGACACAACCAGACCCACCCAGACCCAGACTCAGACTCACCCATACCCACCCAGACTTACTCAGACCCACCCAGACCCACCCATAACCACCCAGACCCACCCAGACTCACCCAGACTCACCCAGACCCACCCAGACGCACCCTGAGTTTGAGACCCCTGTGTGCGTTCGAGGCCTCTGTGTGAGGAGGTGCATGAGTTCGAGGCCCCTGTGTGAGGAGGTGCATGCGTTCGAGGCCCCTGTGTGAGGAGGTGCATGAGTTCGAGGCCCCTGTGTGAGGAGGTGCATGAGTTTGAGGCCCCTATGTGAGTTCGAGGCCCCTGTGTGAGGAGGTTGTACATTAACTCTTGGTTGTTTCAGAATACGCTGAGTTCCTTCACTGCAAAGGAAAGAAGTTCACGGACTTCGACGAGGTGCGACAGGAGATCGAAGGAGAGACCGACCGCATAACAGGGGCCAACAAAGGCATCTCCCCCGTGCCCATCAACCTGAGGGTTTACTCCCCCCACGGTGAGAGAGCCCATCAACCTGAGGGTTTACTCCCCCCACGGTGAGAGAGCCCATCAACCTGCGGGTTTACTCCCACCACGGTGAGAGAGCCCATCAACCTGAGGGTTTACCCCCCCCCCCCCCCCCCCCCCCCCCGGTGAGAGAGCCCATCAACCTGAGGGTTTACTCCCCCCATGGTGAGAGAGCCCATCAACCTGAGGGTTTACTCCCCCCACGGTGAGAGAGCCCATCAACCTGCGGGTTTACTCCCCCCACCCCATCAACCTGCGGTTTACACCCCCACGGTGAGAGAGCCCATCAACCTGAGGGTTTACCCCCCCCCACGGTGGAGAGCCCATAACCTGAGGGTTTACCCCCCCACGGTGAGAGAGCCCATCAACCTGCGGGTTTACCCCCCCCCCCCCCCCAGAGGCAAGCTGCGGGTTTACCCCCCACGGTGAGAGCCCATCAACCTGAGGGTTTACTCCCCCCACGGTGAGAGAGCCCATAAACCTGCGGGTTTAACCCCCCCCCCCCCCCCCACGGTGAGAGAGCCCATAACCTGTGGGTTGAATCATGAATGACCCTGCACACGCTCCTCAGTGACAGATGGAAGAAGATGAAGGACTGCAGGAGGGTTTCTCTCCAGATTCAGACTCATTTATCTGCAGTAAAACCACATTGCTATAAACGTGCAAGTCCCCAGTGTGCACACGACAAGTACATACATGAAACAATGTTAAATGTACGGAAATAAAACTAGAAAAGTGCAGGAAACAATAATCAGTGTGAAATCCATCGACAAAAACATTTTCAGTACAAGAGAGAGACCAGAGAGAGAGACTCTGTTTGGTCCTAGTTTGGTCCTGGTTTGGTTCTGGTTTGGTCCTGGTTTGGTCCAGTTTGGCCTGTTTGGACAAGTCAGAAGACCTTATTGACCGACTGTCTTCTGACGGCCGGCTGCTGTAGACCTCACAAAACCATAATGGTGCTTTTATGTATGATCCTAGTGCTGAACCTGACCCTGGTGGACCTGCCGGGGATGACCAAGGTCCCGGTGGGAGACCAGCCCGCGGACATCGAGGCTCAGATCCGTGAGATGTTGATGCAGTTTGTGACCAAAGAGAACTGTCTGATGCTCGCCGTCTCCCCCGCCAACTCCGATCTGGCCAACTCTGACGCCCTGAAGATCGCTAAAGAGGTGGATCCTCAGGGTGAGTGCAGGTTACTTTTATACGTTTACATACACACACATCCTGGTCACCTATATATAAGGTACCTTTACTTTTTCCGGTCTCTCTCTTTGGTCTCTCTTTCTGGTCTCTCTCTGGTCTCTCTCTGGTCTCTCTCTGGTCTCTCTCTCTGGTCTCTCTCTGGTCTCTCTCTGGTCTCTCTCTGGTCTCTCTCTCTGGTCTCTCTCTCAGGTCTCTCTCTCTGGTCTCTCTCTGGTCTCTCTCTGATCTCTCTCTCTGATCTCTCTCTGGTCTCTCTCGCAGGTGTCCTTCTCTCTCTCCGGTTTCCCTTACCACTAATAGGGCACAATAGGTTAAATCCTCCAGCTCTGGTCCTGACCAAGCAGAGCATCAACATCTGGAGATGGTTCCCGGGCGCTGTTGCTACGGCGACCACTGCTCCTGATGGAAACCTTAGGGCATCAGGGTCAAAAGCAGAGGATGAATTGCCCTATAGGAACAAAGTGCACCTTTACCTTCACACATTTGTTCCTGTGCCTCAGGCATGAGGACCATCGGCGTCATCACCAAGCTGGACTTGATGGACGAGGGCACGGACGCCAAGGACATTCTTGAGAACAAGCTGCTCCCTCTCAGAAGAGGTGAGTCCAACTCACGGTCTCCCTCTTGTGGCCAGTCTCTGCCCTAAACAGACTTCTCGGGGGTGGGATCTCGCGCAGGGGGAGTAGAAGATCAGAGTGAAAAGGTGAAAGGAGCAGGATGGTGGAGGTGGGGGAGGGAGGGGGAGGGTCCTGGAGCAGACTTTTCCTTCTGTGGCAGTCCTGGTTCTGCTGATGCAGGACTTTCTGTTGTTTCCATTTGCACTGGGTCTAACCCTGGAGCCGTGGGTCTGACTTTCCACTGCTCAGCGCCAGGACTTTCACATTTACAAGTCTTGTGGCCCTCACGTTACGGAGCATGAAACACTCGAGAGGTTTTAACGGCAGCTCGTGTAAAAGACAGGATGTACCGTGTTGGTTTTAGTGTCTGAGGGTCATACACTTGAATCAATCTGTTCTCTGACAGAGAATACCAGAAAATAAGACAAAAAATACTGATATTTTTTCATTTGAATTCAATCTAAGAAAAAGATTTTCTTTACTGATTAGCAAACATGTATTATTTCATTGGAGACAAATAAATTTGCACTTAGAAGAAAAAGACTACGGTGCTTAATATGAGACATAGTTTGTGTCCCATTGACAAATGTTGTTAAAAATAAACTTTATGCCGTAGACTGTGAACTAGGAGTGGACAGACAGAGTGTGACATCACCAGAGTGTGACATCACCTGAGTGTGACATCACCAGAGTGTTAGCCTTAAAGCGTAGGAGGATGATTTGAACAGGAGCGAGCTAGAGCCAGTTTCCTTATATGGGCATTTCTTCTTATATATACTGTATATTGTAGCAGTGTGTTGTTCAAAGATGTGTTACTAAGACGGTTGCTAAGGCCCCCCCTTTTAGAACTTATATCTGAATTTACAAAGACAATATCAAAACATAAACACAAGAATCACAGAAAGCGCTAAACCATGGATTTTTAACCCAAATGATTGTGACAGAAACGGTTACTGAGCTCCAGGAGTTTACTTTTATCTCCTTTGAGTCTTTAGGAGTGACAACTTTGTCCACGAGCACTTCCCTATTGGGATTTATTGAGCTAGCGGGTTAGCATTGCCCGTCTGTATAGTCTGCGACCTATGACCTCGCTCCCTTCTCTGTGCGGAGTGAGAAACGCCCAACAAATAACAGTTTTAAAGCGCTCTGTGACTCTGGTCTGAGAAAGGCGCTGTATAAATAAACAACACTTACTTGATTCATTTCTTCATGTTTGTGATTTCTGCCAGTGCTTTTGCTTTAGATCTCGGTTGATTCGCCAACAGCAGATTAGAAAGTCACTGTCCTGTGCGTAGGTTACGTGGGCGTGGTGAACCGAAGCCAGAAAGACATCGATGGTAAAAAGGACATTAACGCTGCAATGGCCGCAGAGAAGAAGTTCTTTCTGTCCCATCCTGCGTATCGACACCTGGCTGAGCGCATGGGCACGTCCTACCTCCAGAAAGTCCTCAATCAGGTCCTCACTCTGCACTTATTGGTTTTGGGGATTTTCCAAATGAATGGCTCTAACTGTTTCATGTTTCTCTTGTTCAGCAACTGACCAACCACATCCGGGACACTCTGCCCAACCTCCGGGCCAAGCTGCAGAGTCAGCTTCTCTCTATCGAGAAGGAGGTGGAGGAGTATAAGAACTTCAGGCCCGACGACCCCTCCAGGAAAACCAAGGCCCTGCTTCAGTGCGTTCTTCTGTCTCAGACTGTTCTAGGCCTGTCACAATAGCACATACGCACTACATGAGGAGGCAGAGATACAGAATGTACCAGTGTGTGGAACACAGACATGTCCAAACTGAGGCCCGGGGGCTAACTGTGGCCCTCTGTGGAGTTTATACGGCCCTCTGCCTCACTGACCTAAAAGTCTTTAAGATCATGAAGACAAGTTCACGGTGTTGACTTTGTTTGACCAAACTGACAATTATTTTTGATTATATGGGACTAACGTATCTGGTGAGGAAACCATTGTCATTCAGCCAACTTCAGCTCTGTCAAAGATGAACCATTGTAGACATTTCTCACCATCTTCTAACTTAAAGCTCGGACCAGCCCCTGGGCATTTGAACCAAAGTGGCCCTTCTACTAAAAAGTTTGGACACCCCTGACTTAACAGGAACCAAAACTATGTATTCAAATCCAAAGAAATGTTTTTGAATGCACAGCGTAACTGCAATTACCGTAATTACAGAACTACTTTTACTGACGTTATTTAAACCTTGCGGCCCAGATTTGATGAATGTATTTTTATTGTTGCAGAGGATCCTCAGGGATTCCTGATCCATAAACAGTCCATAAACTCTTCAGACAACAGTTAGACTCTTACTATAAAAAGTCTTATAGTCAGACAATTACCATGTATAAGGTCAGATATGAGGTGAATAAATACATGTATTTTTCATCTTGAAGTGAGTAGATTTAGACTGTGTTAAAACTTTGCACTTTAGTGTTTTTCAAGTGCAGAGTGTGTTCTGGAATGGTCATGTCTCTTTTCAAACTTTGGACTTGTCCATCCATCCATTTTCTACCCTTTAATCCATTTCTGGGTCAGGGGGGTGGCAGTCAGAGATGCCACTCAAGTCTCATAGCACCAGCCCCTCACTGACCCTCTGCAGGTGGTGAGTCCACAGGAGGAAGGCTGCTCTCTGAGTGTGAGCATAGCCTTGATCTTTCAGTGGGGGCTTTGGGCAAAGTGGGGTTAAGTGTCTTACCCAAGGACACAACGACAGCAGTCATCAGTGGGAGTCGGTGGAGAAGGTGCAGAGGTGGGAATTGAACCCACATGCTCTACCAACTGAGCTACTGTCGCCCACTTTGGACTTGTCCCATTAGAAAATCTATGTCTTTCTTATCTTTTTGTTGTACTCAGATAAATGTAGATTATATATATACAGTATTAATATAATCTACGATCAGCTGCGGACAGTGACAGTTGTATTTGGCCCTGTCCCTGTGTCTCTAACGTCGTGTACCTTACTCTCGCTGCAGAATGGTGCAGCAGTTCTCTGTGGACTTTGACAAACGTATCGAAGGATCCGGAGACCAGATCGACACCGCGGAGCTCTCCGGTGGAGCCAGGATTAACCGCATCTTTCATGAGCGCTTTCCCTTTGAACTGGTCAAGGTAATTCAGACTCACGTGTCAGACAGACAGAAATACTGTCGACCCTGATTCTGTGGGAGCGTAGCACCGTGCTAGCCTTAAAGCAGAGGAGGTAGCACATAAGCTAGCTGTAGCCAATATCCCTGTTTGAGCATTATCTCTGTGATGTTAGCTTCATGCTGTAACAGGCATGTTTCAAATGGGGCTTCTCCATAGTCACGGCACTACACTGCACCACACGGCACTACACTGCACCACACTCTACCACACGGCACTACACAGTACTTGTAGACGGAACCACACGACACAGCACGTCTTTTTGATGTGACATCCGTCCCTATGGTATACACAACTCAACCCCGCCATTTTAAAAACCGCCATTTTAAAAACCGCCATTTTAAAAACCACCATTTTAAAACCAGGCTGCTCTACCACCGTACGCTACAGCAGTGTAGAACGTACGTCCAAAAGTTCAAAAGCGATTACCGGGCCATAAAGGACCACAACGGCCGAAGAGAAGCCAACCGAAAGGCCTGGAGCTGGTGCCTCTCTCTGGCCTGGAAACACCTCCACCAAGTCTGGGCGTCTCTACTTAGACTGCTGCGATTGTGACCTGGCAACGGATAAAGCAGAAGGAAATGGAAGGATGGAACATAAAATACAAAGTCCAGGATCACAAAGAGTTAAACCTCAGATTTTCAGGAGCCGGAGCGAGTTGGTGCAAAACCTTTGTCCATGAGAGCTTCTCTTTTGGGCTTCACTGAGCTAGCCGTTAGCATTGTCCATCCGGCGTCACATGTCCACAGCCCACATTGATATAACCACGGGTTTTATCCACATGTACTCCTGTTTCTGTTTCCTTCGGCTCCTCGCTGAGACTGCTGTGTCTGCCATCTGCCAATGACATCGCCGCAGAGTCTGTTTATCAAAATGCTTTATACGTTCCTAATGCTGCCGTGAGACAACTCTGGACATTTATTGGGATGATGATGGAAATGGCTTATGGGGTGCCGTTTGTAAAAATTCTGTTAAAATTTTTTAGCTGAACATTTTTCTACATTTAGCTCACTTTCCTCACATTTAGCACATTTTCCTCACATTTAAGACATATCTATATCTAAATATTATATCTATATCTAAATGTTAAATGTTATATCTAAATATTATATCTATATCTAAATGTTAAATCTAAATGTTAAATCTAAATGTTAAATCTAAATGTTAAATCTAAATGTTAAATCTAAATGTTATATCTATATCTAAATGTTATATCTATATCTAAATGTTATATCTATATCTAAATATTATATCTATATCTAAATGTTAAATGTTATATCTAAATATTATATCTATATCTAAATGTTATATCTATATCTAAATGTTAAATCTATATCTAAATGTTAAATCTAAATGTTAAATCTAAATGTTAAATCTAAATGTTAAATCTAAATGTTAAATCTAAATGTGTCGCCAAGTGTAAAGCTAAATATATAGAAACCACGCCCACTGCAGTGGCTTCAAATCCAGTGGGCCCGCCTTCCGTGCCGTGTGGTGAGAACCCTACAGGATTACACAGGAATCTCACGGGACTCCACGTGGCTTAGTTTACAGTGAATACACTCTGGCTCCAGCAAATAAGCAAGAATCTTCACAAAAATGCTAATTTTGTGCCGTGGCCAAGGACGATGGCGCCGGAGACCCAACATGCCTTGAGCCGTGACGTCGGTCCACGTGTATTCCTATGTTCAAAACACGCGGCACCGCCCCCACTCACCACACGGCACGGAAGGCGGGCCCACTGGATTTGAAGCCACTGCAGTGGGCGTGGTTTCTATATATTTAGCTTTACACTTGGCGACACATTTAGATTTAACATTTAGATTTAACATTTAGATTTAACATTTAGATTTAACATTTAGATATAGATTTAACATTTAGATATAGATATAACATTTAGATATAGATATAATATTTAGATATAACATTTAACATTTAGATATAGATATAATATTTAGATATAGATATAACATTTAGATATAGATATAACATTTAGATATAGATATAACATTTAGATTTAACATTTAGATTTAACATTTAGATTTAACATTTAGATTTAACATTTAGATATAGATATAACATTTAGATATAGATATAATATTTAGATATAACATTTAACATTTAGATATAGATATAATATTTAGATATAGATATGTCTTAAATGTGAGGAAAATGTGCTAAATGTGAGGAAAGTGAGCTAAATGTAGAAAAATGTTCAGCTAAAAAATTTTAACAGAATTTTTACAAACGGCACCCCATAATGGCTTCGTTGATGGATGTTTGTCAATCAAATGCATTTAACACATGGTAGGACAAGGCAAGTGTATTTATACAGCACAGTTCATGCACAAGGTTATCTCAAAAGGCTGGACACAACAAGATGGAAACAGTCACACAAGACGAAAAATCATTAATAATCACAGTGAAATATTAAAGATAAAATCCTTCAGTTGTTGCAAAAACTAAACTGTTTTTAACCTGGATATAAACATTGTCAGAGAAGAATCTGTCTCACATTTTCAGGATATTAGCACAAATCTGAAACACTGCCTCCTCGTGATTAAGTCCTGACTCTGAGTCCCAGCAGGAGGCCAGTCCCTGTGCTCCTCAGAGTCCCAGCAGGAGGCCAGTCCCTGTGCTCCTCAGAGTCCCAGCAGGAGGCCAGTCCCTGTGCTCCTCAGAGTCCCAGCAGGAGGCCAGTCCCTGTGCTCCTCAGAGTCCCAGCAGGAGGCCAGTCCCTGTGTATTTTAAATATGTACATTCTGTAATTTCAGATGGAGTTCAATGAGAAAGAGCTCCGTAAAGAAATCAGCTACGCCATCAAGAACATCCACGGCATCAGGCACGTCTCCTTCAGTCTCTCGTTTTCTCGTCTGTTTTAATGTGTTTTCACAGTAATCCACGGACACAAGTATTTATGCATGTTTTATAATCAACAACACTAATGCCTCATGTGTTTTTGAGCACAGCCTGAAATCACAGCAGCAGTGGTCCCAGAGGACATGTTGATTCACAAACACCAGATCAGAGAAGCAAACACAAGAAATGGAATATCATACGTGTTTATACATGTTCAAACGTGTTCATACATGTTCATACACGTTCATACACGTTCAAACGTGTTCATACACGTTTATACACGTTCATACACGTTCATACATGTTCATACGTGTTCATACATGTTCATACATGTTCATACATGTTCATATACGTTCATACACGTTCATACATGTTCATACATGTTCATACACGTTTATACACGTTCATACACGTTCATACATGTTCATACACGTTCATACACGTTCATACACGTTCATACATGTTCATACACGTTTATACACGTTCATACACGTTCATACATGTTCATACGTGTTCATACATGTTCATGCATGTTCATACACGTTCATACACGTTCATAAATGTTTATACACGTTCATGCACGTTCATACACATGATTCTAACTGTCCTTGTGAAGATCAAAGCACTGATGAATCCAGTCTATTTTTACGTTAAGAGTTTACTAAAACTGGATCTACAAACTCATCTCTAACAACAGCCCTAGTCACAGAGTAAAGTCCTGTGTATTTCTGCACTTCCTGGTCTCTCTGCTGTTCACATAAACGCACTGAAGCAGGAATGTGTGCAACGGCATTAGCTCTGGAGATTAACAGCTGATGTGGACAGTTTTGAGTGGTTCCTTGAAGATTGAGATTCCTATGTTTGAACGGTTTGATTCTCTGCCCTGCTGTTGGTGAATCGACAACTTTGCAAAGTCCTGTGAGTCACTGAGCTGTGATTTAGAACTAGGCACAAATGAACCAATAGAAACTCCATCCCAGGGTCAAACAGACGGCTTATAGTCAATAATGTAATCCATAAAACTGACATATTTCTACAGATCCAATCAACTCTTTAATCCTTCTTGTTTTAACATTAACTCACTTCATGCCTCTCTTTTCTCCCGCCGTGGCCTCCTCCCGCACGAGCAGAACAGGCCTCTTCACTCCGGACATGGCCTTTGAGACCATTGTAAAAAGGCAGATTGGGAAGATTAAAGAGCCGTGCACCAAATGTGTGGACATGGTGATGTCTGAGCTAGTCAATACGGTTAGGCAGTGTACCAAGAAGGTAAAGACCGCGGTGCAGCTGTGTGTGTGGCCGTGGCTGTTCTGTGTGTGGGCGTGGCTGCTCCGTGTGTGGGCGTGGCTTCTCTCTGTGTGTGGGAGGGGCTGTTCTGTGTGTGGGCGTGGCTGCTTTGTGGGTGGGCGTGGCTTCTCTCTGTGTGGGCGTGGCTGCTCTGTGTGTGGGCGTGGCTTCTCTCTGTGTGGGCGTGGCTGCTCTGTGTGGTGGGCGTGGCCGCACAGGCCGCTGCTCCACAGAACTGAGACTGAGACGTCATCCTCATGTGGCTGCCTACAGCTTTAACTGCAGACTCTGAATCTACGGAGACTCCCAGAGCAGTCGTTTTGACAATGTTGCTTTAGCTGCCATTGAATGTTTCTAAACGACCAAAAACGACCCCATTTCTTGAATGTTAAATCAGAACAAATGAAATATAGAAAGAGAACAGTCACAGAGCAACAGTGTTCATTATATACATGTAACTCTTCACAGACTGTGTCAGTGTCTGAGGTCAGTCCTCACAGACTGTGTCAGTGTCTGAGGTCAGTCCTCACAGACTGTGTCAGTGTCTGAGGTCAGTCCTCACAGACTGTGTCAGTGTCTGATGTCAGTCCTCAAAGACTGTGTCAGTGTCTGAGGTCAGTCCTCACAGACTGTGTCAGTGTCTGAGGTCAGTCCTCACAGACTGTGTCAGTGTCTGATGTCAGTCCTCACAGACTGTGTCAGTGTCTGAGGTCAGTACTCACAGACTGTGTCAGTGTCTGAGGTCAGTCCTCACAGACTGTGTCAGTGTCTGATGTCAGTCCTCACAGACTGTGTCAGTGTCTGAGTTCAGTCCTCACAGGCTGTGTCAGTGTCTGAGGTCAGTCCTCACAGACTGTGTCAGTGTCTGATGTCAGTCCTCACAGACTGTGTCAGTGTCTGATGTCAGTCCTCACAGACTGTGTCAGTGTCTGAGGTCAGTCCTCACAAACTGTGTCAGTGTCTGATGTCAGTCCTCACAGACTGTGTCAGTGTCTGAGGTCAGTCCTCACAGACTGTGTCAGTGTCTGAGGTCAGTCCTCACAGACTGTGTCAGTGTCTGAGGTCAGTCCTCACAGACTGTGTCAGTGTCTGAGGTCAGTCCTCACAGACTGTCAGTGTCTGAGGTCAGTCCTCACAGACTGTGTCAGTGTCTGAGGTCAGTCCTCACAGACTGTGTCAGTGTCTGATGTCAGTCCTCACAGACTGTGTCAGTGTCTGATGTCAGTCCTCACAGACTGTGTCAGTGTCTGAGGTCAGTCCTCACAGACTGTGTCAGTGTCTGAGGTCAGTCCTCACAGACTGTGTCAGTGTCTGAGGTCAGTCCTCACAGACTGTGTCAGTGTCTGAGGTCAGTCCTCACAGACTGTGTCAGTGTCTGAGGTCAGTCCTCACAGACTGTGTCAGTGTCTGAGGTCAGTGGCAGCTTCATGGGAGGACCTCAGCTCATAGATGTTTCTTTTGGAAGGTTGCAGCTGTGCTCCTGCATCTGTGCTACTGCATCTGTGCTGCTGCATCTGTGCTCCTGCAGCTGTGCTCCAGCAGCTGTGCTGCTGCATCTGTGCTCCTGCAGCTGTGCTCCTGCAGCTGTGCTTCTGCAGCTGTAGATCTATCTTCAGTGTTATTATGATTCCATAAGAAGGAAACAGGACATGAGACTGTGCTCCGTGCACAGCTGCTTCCTCAGTCGTTGCTGATGATGGAGAGACTCCAACACAGGATGCTTCACTGCTTTGTCCTTCTGTGCCGTTAACCCTCACTCTTCATCTTCTTCATCTCCCTCCTCCTCTTCATCATCTCCCTCCTCCTCTTCTTCATCTCACTCCTCCTCTTCTTCATCTCCCTCCTCCTCTTCTTCATCTCACTCCTCCTCTTCATCATCTCACTCCTCCTCTTCTTCATCTCCCTCCTCCTCTTCATCATCTCCCTCCTCCTCTTCATCATCTCCCTCCTCCTCTTCATCATCTACCGCCTCCTCTTCTTCATCTCCCTCCTCCTCTTCATCATCATCATCTCACTCCTCCTCTTCTTCATCTCACTCCTCCTCGTCATCATCATCATCTCACTCCTCCTCTTCTTCACCTCCCTCATCTTATTCATCTCCCTCCTCCTCTTCTTCATCTCACTCCTCCTCTTCATCATCTCCCTCCTCCTCTTCTTCATCTCACTCCTCCTCTTCTTCATCTCCCTCCTCCTCTTCATCATCTCACTCCTCCTCTTCATCATCTCACTCCTCCTCTTCATCATCTCACTCCTCTTCTTCTTCATCTCACTCCTCCTCTTCTTCATCTCCCTCCTCCTCTTTTTCATCTCACTCCTCCTCTTCTTCATCTCCCTCCTCCTCTTCATCATCTCCCTCCTCATCTTCATCATCATCATCTCACTCCTCCTCTTCATCATCTCCCTCCTCCTCTTCATCATCTCCCTCCTCCTGTTCATCATCTCCCTCCTCATCTTCATCATCTCCCTCCTCCTCTTCATCATCTCCCTCCTCATCTTCATCATCACCATCTCACTCCTCCTCTTCAACATCTCCCTCCTCTTCATCATCTCCCTCCTCCTCTTCATCATCTCCCTCCTCATCTTCATCATCATCATCTCACTCCTCCTCTTCAACATCTCCCTCCTCTTCATCATCTACCTCCTCCTCTTATTCATCTCCCTCCTCCTCTTCATCATCTCCCTCCTCTTCTTCATCATCTCCCTCCTCTTCATCATCTCCCTCCTCTTCTTCATCATCTCCCTCCTCCTCCTCTTCATCATCTCACTCCTCCTCTTCTTCATCTCCCTCCTCCTCTTCATCATCTCCCTCCTCATCTTCATCATTATCATCTCACTCCTCCTCTTCATCATCTCACTCCTCATCTTCATCATCTCCCTCCTCTTCTTCTTCATCTCCCTCCTCCTCTTCATCATCTCCCTCCTCATCTTCATCATTATCATCTCACTCCTCCTCTTCATCATCTCACTCACTGCGGCACGGTGGCTGAGTGGATAGCACTCTCGCCTCTCAGCAAGAAGGTCCTGGGTTCAAATCCCGGTTGGACCAGGGCCTTTCTGAGTGGAGTTTGCATGTTCTCCCCGTGTCTGCGTAGGTTTCCTCCGGGTGCTCCGGTTTCCCCTACCACTAAAAATATGTACAATAGGTCTGGCATGTGCCTCCTGTACTGGCACCCCCACTCCCAAAAAAATAACAATTGTAAACCGCTTTGAGACTCCGATGTGCAGTGAAAAGGCGGTATATAAATAAAAAAAGCTTACTAAAGCTTACTCACTCCTCTTCTTCATCTCTCTCCCTCTGTCCCTGTGTCCCCCACAGAACGGGGCTGTTCACCCCAGACCTGGCCTTTGAGGCGATAGTGAAAAAGCTGATCCTAAAGCTGAGGGGGCCGTGCCTGAAGTGCATAGATTTGGTAGTGAGTGAACTGACCGCCACCATTCGAAACTGTAGCCTCAAGGTAAAACATCTGAGGGTCTTTGACTTTTAGACAAGACGGGGTTAGACTGACAAAGCAGTAAGCAGTGTGCGACACTTGTCATGTCAGGATGGCACTTATGAGGATGTTAGGAGGAACAAAGTTACGCAGAGGCAGCTTCCAGTGCAGATCCGGTGAAGGTTTATTTACATTATTTACATTTTTGTGTTAAAATCAGGACAGCATGTCCACCAGCACTCCTCCAGCTCAGAGCTGGTGGCCTGTTTTTATAGCAGGTGACAGCAATTAGACCACACCCACTGCAGCTCAAAATACACAAAAAAAATACAGCAATAATTAACGCAGTGAATATATCCTCTACAAAATTACATCTCTTTATTAATTTAGCAGTGATTTATTATTTCTAACACATTACTCAAGTCACAAAATAAAACCCAGGACACCCCTCCTCTCTGCAGAGTGGATGCACCCGGAACCCTCTTTAGGTGCTAGACAAACAGGAAACAAAAAGGTGAGTAATTACAGGTTGCACGTTTACATTAAAACCCAATCTTTAATAAACTTTATTTAAAACAATTTAGTGTCTCATTTCCCTCACCTGTACACACCCAGTAATGGACTCTGCTACATTACACAGTGATATAACCATCCAGATGACTACTAATGTATGAATAAGATCTAATACAGAAAACTGAAACTGTAAACAGCCTATGGTCTAGTGCAGGCATGTCAAACTCAGGCCCCAGGGCCAAATCCGTCCCACAACACCATTTATATTGGCCCCTAAAATGATCTCCAATATCATTATTAACTTTCAGCATACATCGTTTATATTCTCAGGAAAACCACTACATTTAATGTTTTCTAAAATGTTAACCCAACACGTCATAGAAGTGAAATATAAAACAATGTGTGTCACTTTACATTTGCTCCAACAACCATAAAATAAAACTCCTGTTACATAAAAGTCGAAACACCTTCAAAATGTGAAAAACAAGAGAAAAGGAAATGGGTTCTTTTGGACCTAAATGAGTTTGCCGTCCCTGACCTCTGCTGCTGTATCGGTCTATCCCTGCTGCACTTAACATAATAATAAGTGTTTTTGGACATTCGGATCTGTCAATAACGCAGTGTTTCATTCACTCTATTGACAATGGATTGCATGTTAGTCGACATGTGCACAAATCCTTTCTATTTTTATTCATTATTGACAAAAACATCTTTCCGTTCGCGTAATAACTATTTACTCAGTCCTGTTCTCTTCATGGAACACTAATACTGGACTAGTGTGTTTTATTTGTCCTCTTCTTCATCCTCTCACCTGTCGCTTCTCAGCTGCAGCGACATGAAGACAGCCAGAGCTCTCTTTGGATTTCTAAAATACTCACAAGATTTAGATTTAATTTGTGCTTTGTGCAGAAGTCTTTGCTATTTTAACACTATTGGATCCACAAAGGAGTCGTCTGTCTTCTTGTCTCGTGCTCACCCCAGCTCCCAGCTCTGCATGTGTCTCATGAATGTGCCTGCTGCCCAAACATGGACGAATACTCCTCTCTGTATGACTCCAAATTACAATGCACCGTTTTAAACTTTTGCTCTCCACAGAATCAATAATTTATAATAAAATTACATATACCTTTCATTAGCCTGGAATCATGGACCATACTGTATTAGGAGTGGACCGACCGAGTGTGACATCACCATAGTGTTAGCCTTAATGCTAAAGAATCTGATTTGGACGTAAGCTAGCTGCAGCCAGTTTCCTTATATGGGCGTTTGTTCCGACAGCGTAACAGCAGCAGCCGTGTTACTAAAACGGTTGCTATGGCAAGTTGGAGTTTCCCCATAGATACAAGTGGCCAATGCTAACACGCTGGCTCAATGCTAACACGCTGGCTCAATGCTAGCATGATAGCTCAATGCTAACAAATTTGTACTGCAACTCGCTCTGGCTCCTATTGACTTACATGACAAAGTAAACTCCTCTAGCTCAGTAAAAGGTTTTGTTTTTTGTGACACCATTTTGGGCTGTTCAAATGATGTAAAGAATTCAGGTTAGCTTAGCACTTAGCATTAGCATGTCAGTAGCATGTTCCAATGTCTTCTTATACGCTGCCTTTTTCTCATCTGTTTTTCTTTTCTTTGCCACAACAGAGAGAGTGGGAAACGTGAAATTAGCACTTTCTGTTCGGCCATTTTAGGTGTTAGAAAATCCCACACTCAACAACAACTCAGGAGCACTCACAAAAAACGTATGATTTCGTTTTTGAGTCTGGTCGTGTTGATTTAAAAACACGACTTTTTTGGGGTTTATGGACGTTTCCTCACAGTGTTTTGTGTCTGGATAAATCATTGTGATGTCACACTCTGCCAGTCCGCTCTCACACAGTCATAAATGCAATGAGTGACATCCCCTTTAACTTTGAGCGCTCTTTTATAAAGACCCTTTTCTTTGTGGGTGTCGTGGGGTCGCGTCAGGAAGCAGTAAATCTCACAAAGCAGCGCGGTCTGAGGTCTGAGCCGGTCTGAGGTCTGAGCCGGTCTGAGGTCTGAGCCGGTCTGAGCCGGTCTGAGGTCTGAGCCGGTCTGAGGTCTGAGCCGGACCAGACCAAAGCTGCTGTAACACTAAACCGTAAATGTTTCTTCTTGTCGTTGAGAGCGGTGTTTCTGTTTCCTTCTTTCCTCTCACTCTGATCCAAATGTGGCTCTCTCTGGAAACTCTCCAAAGTGTGCGTTTGTGGATCTGCAGTGAGCTCATGGAAAAGGCCGTGTGCGGGAAACGAACCCTTCTCTGCCAGAAACATTCTTCTGATTTTGTGCCGAAAAACACAGAAAATGTTCTTTTTTTCATTAGTTCCACTTTGGACTTTTCACAAATAACTGTCAGGAAATCATTTCCTTTGTTTCTGGGTTAGATTCTGGTTTGTGTAGATGGTTGTGTGTAGTATATGTGTGTGTTGTGGTGCTGTGCTGATGGTTGTGTGTAGTATATATGTGTTTTGTGGTGCTGTGCTGATGGATGGTTGTGTGTAGTATATGTGTGTGTTGTGGTGCTGATGGATGGTTGTGTGTAGTATATGTGTGTGTTGTGGTGCTGATGGATGGTTGTGTGTAGTATATGTGTGTGTTGTGGTGCTGTGCTGATGGTTGTGTGTAATATATGTGTGTGTTGTTGTGTTGTTTCCTTTCACCCACCTGTTGTGTTGTTGTGTTGTTGTGTTGCGGTCTGCAGCTGGCCCAGTATCCTCTGCTTCGGGAGGAGATGGAGAGGATCGTAACGCAGCACATCAGAGACCGAGAGAACGCCACCAAGGAACAGGTACACACTGAGCACAGGTACACACTGAGCACAGGGACACACTGAGCACAGGTACACACTGAGCACAGGGACACACTGAGCACAGGTACACACTGAGCACTAACACACTGAGCACAGGTACACACTAAGGAAAGGTACACTCTGAGCACAGGTACACCCTGAGCACAGGTGCACCCTGAGCACAGGTACACACTAAGCACTAACACACTGAGCACAGGTACACACTAAGCACTAACACACTGAGCACAGGTACACACTAAGGAAAGGTACACACTGAGCACAGGGACACACTGAGCACTAACACACTGAGCACAGGTACACACTAAGGAAAGGTACACACTAAGCACTAACACACTGAGCACAGGTACACACTAAGGAAAGGTACACACTGAGCACAGGTGCACCCTAAGCACAGGTACACACTAAGCACTAACACACTGAGCACAGGTACACACTAAGGAAAGGTACACACTGAGCACAGGTACACCCTGAGCACAGGTACACCCTGAGCACAGGTACACCCTGAGCACAGGTACACACTAAGCACTAACCCTAACCCTATTTCCATCTATACTGAGGCCCCTAACCCTATGTCAGGTCCCCCAGCTTTAGTATATGTCAGATGTTTTTGTCATAAGCATTTGCCATAAGTATTTGCCATAAGTATTTGCCATAAGTATTTGTCATAAGTATTTGTCATAAGTATTTGTCATAAGTATTTGTCATAAGTATTTGTCATAAGTATTTGTCAGCAGTATTTGTCAGTAGTATTTGTCAGAAGTATTCGTCATAATTTGTCAGAAGTATTTGTCAGAAGTATTCTGTGGTGTCCAGGTGCTGCTGCTGATCGACATCGAACTGTCCTACATGAACACCAACCACGAAGACTTCATTGGATTTGCAAAGTAAGTTAGCTAGGGTTAGCTAATACGGTTAGCTAAGTAAGTTAGTGAGGGTTAGGGTTATCTAAGTAAGTTAGTGAGGGTTAGGGTTAGCAAAGTAAGTTAGTTAGGGTTAGGGTTAGCTAAGTAAGTTAGTTAGGGTTAGCAAAGTAAGTTAGTTAGGGTTAGCTAAGTAAGTTAGTGAGGGTTAGGGTTAGCAAAGTAAGTTAGTTAGGGTTAGGGTTAGCTAAGTAAGTTAGTTAGGGTTAGCTAAGTAAGTTAGTTAGGGTTAGAGTTAGCAAAGTAAGTCAGTTAAGGTTTCTTTTCTTCCTCTGTGATTTCTCTGATTCTGTGGTTTCCGTCGTTGCCAAATCTGTCAGAGCAGATTCACGGATAAGGTTTTGGATGTTTGTTTCTTCCAGCGCTCAGCAGAGGATCAACCAAATGAACAAGAAAAAGGCGGCTGGAAATCAGGTACAGACCAGACCGAGGACTGAAGACTGGACTTGGTCTTCTTCTTCTTCTTCTAATGGTTTGCGGCAGGCTGTACGCTAGCAAAGCGTAATGCTGCCCTCTTCTGTTCACTCAACTCACTTCACTTTACTTCAGATTCTTGAGTAGAGGTTGGTGGAGAGAAGATAGCTCACAACCGCCCTATCTATTAAACGCGAGTTTGGCCTACACGAAAAAATCGATCTTATTGAAAACACAGTAAGCCCAAGGGTTGCAAGGTCTTTAAATAACATTCCCCTTTCCACAGAATAACAGGTGCACGACAGCAACACATGTGGAATAGTCTCCAACTGACCACACTGACACAGCCCGTCTGGATGCTTGCCCATTGTATACAAATATGCAGCAAGCCCACAATGCCCCAGTCTTAATCTGGTTATTTTAACTTGGTTTGATCGGCAGGTGTACCACAGGAGTCTACTACCCTGCACTAGAGGTTGACACCTAAAATAGTGTCTCCCTCTCGTCTCATTCTCCCACTCCCTCTGCCATTGTTGGTGCATAGCAGTTTTAAAAATACTGACACACTCAGCCTTCCCCAACCGGACCACATATTCGATTTCTGTCTCGAGAAGTGCCTCCTTAGCTAATGTATCAGCAGCTTCATTCCCCACTATTCCTGAGTGAGATGGGATCCAGGAAAAAACAATACTAGACCCCATCAGCTCTATCCGGCGAAGGCAACACAAAATCTCCAGCACAATATCTGCCCTAGCCCCAGAGGGACCATCCGAAATTGCCTGTAAGGCAGCCATAGAATCAGAATAAATATACACCGTTTCAGGCTGATTTCTCTCAACCCAATCTACCGCCCACCAAATGGCTAACAGCTCAGTAGTGAACACAGAGACATGATCAAACACTCGCATACTTTTTCTACTTTCATTATTCATAATGTAGACTCCAAAACCAGCTTTTCCTGAGCTTGGGTCCTTAGACCCATCTGTAAAAATGTGGTACGAAGTTTCCTTATTAAGAGCCACAAACTCATTTATTTGGCCACTAACACGACCTTTGTCCAGCCCAAGCAGGTCCAATTGGACCTCTGGTTCTGGCAAAAGCCAGACTGGAAAAGGGGACCACACTGATGCAGCAACATTCCCATTCTCCAGGCCCACCTTACTAGCCAACTGCCCGATAGATCTTAGAAAACTCGCCTTTCCCTCCCTCTTTACAAATTCCCAGCAGTCCTCCAAGAGGCACTTGGCCGCAGAATTATGCTGAAGTCCTGCTAGTCTGGCCCAGTACTGGAGTCCCAGCTTCTGCCTTCTAATATTTAAAGATGTTTCCCCCATTTCAACCAATAGCGCAGGTATGGGTGTGGTTCTAAACGCTCCACTGCAGACTCTGAGGGCTTTTGCTTGAACTCTGTCCAGCTTTATTAATACAGTTTTAGCCGCAGCACCAAATACAAAACAACCATAGTCCAATGTTGATCTTATCATTGCTCTATAGATCATAAGCAGAGTTGATCGATCTGCTCCCCAGTCACTGCCAGCCAAACTACGAAGAACATTAATTACTTTTTCACACTTCCCAACAGTCTTTTCAATATGCCTGTTCCAGGTCAGCCTCTCATCCATCCACATTCCAAGGAATTTGAACACATTTACCTTTTCTAACTGGTTACCATATAAATACAAAGACCTTTGGGGCAATTTCTTTTTTAGACCAAATATCATGTAATTACTTTTAGATGCTGAAATTTTAAAACCCCACGTGTCTGCCCAGCATACTATTTGATCCAAGGCTACCTGAGTTTGCTTAATTAAATATTCTACATTTTTACCCCTACGCCAAATAGCGCCGTCGTCTGCATAAAGGGATTTCCCAAAAGCTGCATCGACACACTGAAAGATACTATTTATCATTACATCAAATAAAACCGGGCTAATTACAGATCCTTGAGGTGTACCATTCAAAATACTAGCCGTTTTGGAGAATTTGCTTTCTATTTTCACCTGTATTGTTCTACCGTTAAGGAAATCTTTAATCCATAGGAACATCCTTCCCCTAATACCGGCATCAAAAAGTTTAAACAGCAAACCCTCCCGCCACATACTGTCATAAGCCTTTTCTATGTCAAGGAAAACTGCCACCACAGCCTCCTTGTTAATCACTGCCTTTCGAATATCCTGATCCAATACTGCAACAGAGTCCATGGCATTTCTACCAACCCTAAAACCGTTTTGGTAATTCACAAAAAACCCAGTAACTTCTAAAGAATACATAAGTCTATTAGTGACCATCCTCTCCATCACCTTACACAGCACTGAAGTCAATGCTATGGGTCTGTAAGACGACGGAGAGGATGGGTCCTTTCCTGGCTTCAGGATAGGAATTATGACAGCATGTTTCCAAACCTTGGGTAGCGACCCAGCTTCCCAAATGTAGTTAAACAAGACCAAGATCTCTTCAAGCACTGGATCATCCAGCTGCTGTAAAAGCTTATAACTTATCTCATCTTGTCCGGGTGAAGTATTAGCCCCAGCGTCTACTGCCTCCTTAAGCTCCTTAAAAGAAAAATACACATTAAAAGCACTGTTTGCATCCTCACTGCATGTTAACTTCCACTTGTTATCTTGCAAAACTTCATTTCTAATTCTAAGACTTTCATCCCTTAAAAACTTTGAGTTATGGACATCTTGAAATACTTCTACACACATATTTGCTTTTTCTTTGCTAGAAATAGCTTCTATATTCCCATTCTTTAACACAGGTACACCAGTATTGGTCCTTTTCCCTACCATTCTATGAATCCTAGACCAGATTTGTTTAACTGGGGTTTTAGGGCCCAACGTACTACAGTACTCCCTCCAGCATTTCTTTTTTGCCTCCTTGATAGTCTTCCGAGCTAAAGCCCTACACCTTTTAAAATCAATAACATTTTCCTGGATAGGATGCATCCTTAACTTTTTAAAAGCTTTCCTTCTATTACTTACTGCCGTAGAACATTCCTTGTTCCACCATGGGACAATTATTCGATCACGGGGGAACCTTCTACTTGGGATAGACTCTGAAGCTACCCTTAGGATCATAGCTGACAAAGAGTTACACATGTTATCTATAGAGCCATTACTATCCACCCCTGCCAACCCCTCATTAGTACCTTCCCTGAACTTGTTCCAATCAGCCCGGGAGAAATCCAACCTAGGTGGTGTACCTGAAGATTCCACCACAAGTGCTCTATTAAAAATTGCCATAACAGGAAAGTGATCACTACCAAATGTATCTTCGCCCCAAACTCCCCACTCTGCTAACCTGGCCAGTGCCGGGCATGTAAAAATGAGATCAAGACAAGAAGTCTTGTTTGTATTTATATCAATCCGAGTTGAGCTTCCATCATTCAAGATTATAAAATTACTTCTATCCAAAAATTCCTCTACCACACCCCCATTTGCGTCCCTTTCCTGGCTCCCCCACAGAGGGTTATGGGCATTAAAATCACCCACCCACACAGCAGAGGGACCTGTCCTCCTCTCAATTTCATCAAACTCTGCGAAAATCAGAGGCTTACACGGGTTATAACAATTCACCACAAATACTTTACCCTCAGTGCTCCACACCTCAGTGATTAAACACTCCAAAGAGACTTTACAGTCACATTGTTTATACTGAATACCCACTCTAATAAATGTAGCACACCCACCACCAGACCTATCGCCTCGATCCTTACGCAAACACTCATATCCCGGAATTGAGAAATCTAGACACGATTTCAGCCACGTCTCTTGGACACACACGATATCTGGTTTCACATCAAGATCCCTGATAAACTTCTTAAACTCTTGCCCATTGGCGATAAGGCTCCTAGCATTCCATTGTAGGATGCGGACCATGGGAGATTACGCTAAATCCCCCCAAAGAAGGCTTCAAGCCCCCCTTCCTCCATATTAATTTCTTCTTCCTCGACTCCATCTCCTGCCCCACTGCCGGTGCTGGACTGGCTCGATGACTGGTTTTGAGCCCCCTGAGCCTCCTGAACCTCCTTCATGTAGCCGAACAGCAACTGGGGAGCATAGTCTTTAAGCCCCAAAAATCTGCCAGCAGACTCAACCACCCACTTGATTAGATCTGATCTTGACTTTTTACCACGGGATCCATACACAACATCGACAATGAATGCCATAAGTGACTCCTTATTTACTACCAAATCCTGATTAGGGCTGCCATGCGTCTCTATTCGTCGTTTTGAAGCATTTGGAGGAGCCATATCTACAGCCTGGGCCTGAGGCTTTCCCTCCACCTTTTTCACGGCTTCTGCATAAGAGATCTTGTGTTGCTCTTTCACCTCTTGTACGCGCTTTGCTTTTGCAAACACCGCGCAATCCTTAGAGGATGCCATATGACAGCCTCCACAATTACAGCATTTTGGAGACGGCACACTACAGGACGCAATATCGTGCTCTCCTCCACACTTGGTACACCGCCTATTACCGCGACATGAAGCAGCCAAATGTCCAAACCGCTGGCACTTGAAGCATCGCATCGGGGGTCTCTGATAACTTCTAACCGGAAATGACAAACAACCAATAAACACCCTTTCTGGCAAGACATTACCACTAAACGTGATCAAAACTGGAGCATTGGGGTTTCCGCCTTCGCGAGCTTTAAACCGTTTAACTTCACACACAGTCCCACCTTTGATACTTTCCTTTATTTCACACTCCAAAACTTCAGCATATACACCATAGATGACGCCCTGAATAACTTCCTTTTTCTCCACCATCTGTGCCTCCACTTTTTTCCCGGAAATCTTCGCTATCTTAGCCACTTTCCCCATCTGCTCCTTGCTTTTACACAGGACCAGCAATGCTCCATTCGACAGAGCGCGGGCATCCACGCCCTCCCCAACACTTTTAAATGCCTCGGCCACTTTTAATGGATTTAAGCCTCTAAACCCGTCCCCAATTTGTTCTTTTAACTTAAAGATAACTCGAAACTCTTCAATTGACTTTGCCATTTTCATTACAGGAACTCCGTCTCTTCCAAGTGAGGCGTCTGCACCACGCTTCCTAGCCCCAGTTTTACTTTTATCCCCTTCCTGAATACCCCTTCCTCCACCTCCCGAGGAACAGGCCATCCAAAAGTTTATACAAGCAAGCACTCAAAGCTCAAACTGAGTGGATAGTTTAGTAAGATTTACGACTTGCTGACACTACAGCGTCTCCGCTCTCCACCAACCGTCCGCGTCTCACCCTAGACTTGGTCTGAGGAGGACTCAGGACATATCAGAGACTGGACTGGGTCTCAGGAGGACTCAGGACTTGGTCTCAGGAGATTCTTTATGAATGAAGCTTCACTTCCTGGTCTAAAGCTAAAGGTTTATGGGAGGATTGTCTACTTCCGGGTGGATCATCAACACGATTGGTCCTCCCTATTGTCTATCATTCTGGTGACACGTGCTCGTCCAATAAGAGCAGAGAGTTTGGTTCAGAAAGAGGAGAGGGCGGTTCGTTCCGAACATTTAGGAAAATCCTTTAAGATAAAATAAGATAAAGACTTTATTGATCTTACATTGTCACATTTGGCATAAATTAAATGAAATTAAAAGTTATTATATTGCAGTGCGAGTCAACAGTCCTATTGCAGGTCATTAAGTGACTCATTGTACAGTCTGACACCGCATGTCTGTTCTCCATGATGTGCTGAAGTAGTTCTGGACTACAATAAAATAATATTATTGTATTATATTAGTAGCTTTCTGATGGAAAAAGATTGCAGACCCCAGTTCTAGCTCATTTATTTATTTAGATAAGAGACCCTTTATTTGTGGGGAGATTTCAGTGTTGCAGCGCACAGACAAATACACAGAGAGAAGTCGCTGAATGCATCAGTGTCAGAGTTCGCATGATATGAGCAGAGAGCAGAGGAGATAGAAGTGACTCTGTGGACATTCTAAAGTGCAGACACAGGTTCAGGAGTTCTCATTGTACAGTCTGACAGGAGCAGGAAGGAAAGAGCTGCAGAGCCTCTCTGCATAGTGGGGGTGGATCAGTCTGTCCCTGCAGCTGCCTGTGACGGACTAATCATGTTTAAAACGATTGTTTTGCTTTGATTTGCTAAAGCGTTAAATCAGCATTAAAATCTACAAATCTACAAACCGTGAAGTTCTAAACTTTTATATATACTGTATGTGTTTTTTTGGGAGCATGAAGTATCCGGGGATTCAAACTTAAACCTTTATCTTTTTGGTTCCTCTTTTCTCTCTTTTCTAACTTCTCTTCCTTTTGAGTAATTTCTGTCTGTTTCCTTTGTGGTTCGTTTGGGATTCTGTTCCTCCAGGATGAGATCATGGTAAGTTATTGTTGATAGTTTCTCATATTTTCTCTCAAGTCCTAAAGAGAAAGATCATAAATCACTAATACTTACTGAACGGCCGCACCAGCTGAATTTAAAGAGAAAGTACATGTTTGTCCACATAATAGTCCGCCATAGTCACATAGAGAGCCCCCTGGAGTGCAGGAGTGCTTCTAACAACATTACAATACATACAAAGGCCATACCACAGGGGGCGCTCTAATAACATAATAATACATACACAGGCTGTACTCCAGGGGGCGCTCTAACAACATAATAATACATACACAGGCTGTACTCCAGGGGGCGCTCTAACAACATAATAATACATACACAGGCTGTACTCCAGGGGGCGCTCTAACAATATAATAATACATACATTGGCTGCATCACTGTAGAGGCTCCTAGAGTTTAAAGAACTCCCAGAGCAGTGTAAATACTCAGGGACCTGTGTGGTCTTCATTCTGTCATGAAGTTAAGATGGCAGGACCCAAAAAGCAGGAAAGCAAAAAATATTACCATTTTCAGTCAATTGCCAACCAACATTCTGCGGTGAAGACGCTGATCCTGGACTGGTTCTGGTTCTGACTCTGGTTCTGGTTCTGAGCTGAGCTTGATAAAAGCAAGTACTAGTTACGTAGCAACACACTCAAGCTTTTCAACAAACTACAGTATTATTTCAGCATTTCAAGTTATAATCACCAGTTTTAGCTTTGTTTTAAAGGTTACAATCATATACATTTGTAAAAAATGTTTAATAATTCCGGACGGGAATTTGATGCTCTGGGAGTGTTAAAAAAAAACGTGAAAAAAGAAGCTGCTGTGAGTCCAGCGAGTGCCGTAACTCATAACAAAGATGTAGAGATGCAGGAGACAAGTGAAACCAGCCACACTCCTCACAGACTCAGGGGCTGCGATCAGGAGGAGCCCAGACGGCAGGTCATTGGTTCATATGTTTCCTGTTTGAAGATGACGTGCTGCCTCTGCTGCTGCTGCTAATGTCGCTAATGTCGCTAATGTCGCTGCATCACATGTTCTGCTCTTTACCTGCTTTTTTGCCTGACCTTTTGTGCAGCTGCAACAACCATTAATTTGTCCTTTCAGAGTTAGCCACATTAGCTTAGCACTTCCTGTTTGAGAATGATGATGGTGATAATGATGAAATGTAGAAGGGTTTTCAGTAGAGTTTAGGAACCAGAGAGCTCGAAAACTGTATCGAAAGAATGTAGCTATACCATCGACCGTATATTGGGAGTAGACATAGTGTTAGCCTTAATGCGGAAGAAGCCGCTTTTAGCATAAGCTAGCTGGAGCCAACTTCCTTTTAGGGGCATTTGTTCTGACGGTGTTAGCTTTGTGCGGTAACTGACAGCTGTGTTGCTAAGTCTAAGGCAAGGAGAATCTGATTTGGCATCCAATAGGTCAATCCTCATATGGCTAATATCTGGATTTAGACAATGTCAAAATATCAATAGAAAACAATGGGACTTTTAAGCCTAAAATACAAGTGTGACACAGTTACTGAGCTTTTACATGTAGGTCAATAGGAGCCAGAGTGAGTAAGCAAAACTTCATCCATAAGCACTTCCCTATTTTGTTTCATTGAGCTAGCTAGCGGGTTAGCATTGTCCATGTATATACAGTCTGATTATATCCACTCCATGCACTCGCAGTAGCATCGCTCTGTCAATGCTTGTCCCTTTGTGGCTGAAAAACACAGAATGGCTCAGACTTTGCCCTAGCTCTTTATTTTTTCTTTATTTTTAACAAACTTTTGATCCTTATTCAGCCTGAGAGAGGAGCTAACGATCGCTTCAAGGTAAAACCAACTGGACTCTCAATGATCAGTAGTGTAACATGTAGGTTGCGACTAATCTAGCCTAGCCTGGATGTGTTTGGTGTAGTGTTGTAATAATAATTATATTAATAATAACTTTATAGTAATGGTGTGGAGGTCATGTGTGGTTAATGATAGTATGGTAACATTCCACCTGGTGTGTGTGTGTGTGTGTGTGTCTGTAGGTGATCCGGAAGGGCTGGCTCACCATCAACAACATCAGCATCATGAAGGGCGGGGCCAAAGAGTACTGGTTCATCCTCACCGCGGAGTCTCTCTCCTGGTACAAGGACGATGAGGTAATTTTCCTTTCTTTATTGATGTTACAAAGGCCCTGAGTCCACCAGCTCTACCCAACTCTACTCTACCCTACTCTATTCTACTCTACTCTACTCTACCCTACTCTACTCTACTCTACTCTACCCAACTCTACTCTACCCTACTCTACTCTACCCTACTCTACTCTACCCTACTCTACCCTACCCTACCCTACCCTACCCTACACTACTCCACTCTACTCTACTCTACACTACACTACTCTACTCTACACTACTCTACCCTACTCTACTCTACACTACTCTACCCAACTCTACCCTACCCTACTCTACTCTACCCTACTCTACTCTACGCTACTCTACTCTACCCTTCTCTACTCTACCCTACTCTACTCTACCCTACTCTATTCTACTCTACACTACTCTACCCTACTCTACTCTACCCTACTCTATTCTACTCTACTCTACACTACTCTACCCTACTCTACTCTACCCTACTCTATTCTACTCTACTCTACTCTACTCTACTCTACACTACTCTACTCTTCTCTACTCTACTCTACTCTACCCTACTCTACTCTACCCTACCCTACCCTACACTACTCTACCCTACTCTACTCTACTCTACTCTACACTACTCTACCCTACTCTACTCTACTCTACACTACTCTACCCTACTCTATTCTACTCTACTCTACTCTACCCTACTTTACTCTACTCTACTCTACTCTACTCTACTCTACTCTACTCTAGAGTAGAGCTGGCTGGAAACGGGGCTAAAGAAGCAGCATTAATGGAGCGTCTGCTGAGAACTGCAAAACTCTGAGGACAGAGGTCAGAGGCTGAACAGTTTATTATTGTGTTTGAGACCAACGACCAAATTAGGAACAATTATATTACTCATTAATTTGAATTAATGCCACCTTTTATAACACATAAGGACAACGACAAGGGGCAGGACCAGAGAGAGACCAGAGAGAGACCAGAGAGAGACCAGAGAGAGACCAGAGAGTCTGGAGAGTCTGGAGAGTCTGGAGAGACCAGAGAGAGACCAGAGAGAGACCAGAGAGAGACCAGAGAGAGACCAGAGAGAGACCAGAGAGAGAGACCAGAGAGAGAGACCAGAGACAGAGACCAGAGACAGACCAGAGACAGACCAGAGACAGACCAAAGACAGACCAGAAACAGACCAGAGAGAGACCAGTCCCCAGTGTGTAATCTTACAATCCCTCTTGGTGGTATGGTGTCCCATGATGCTTTGCAGAGCTCCTGGTCTCAGTCTCGGGCTGTTTGTGCCAGTGTCAGAGAAAGGCCCATAGACCCCCCAGACTGTGAGGCCTTAAAGCTGGCACCCACATGTGCATACCAGAGACCTGTGCTGTTCCCAATTACACACACACAACCAGACACACACACAGGTAGAAACACACACACACACATGCAGGCACGCACACACACGTGCAGACACGCACACACATGTGCAGACACACACACAGAAGTCAAAAAGAGAATTAAGTTAGAGACTGGACGTAAACAATTATATGAATGGGGTAAAAATGTTGATATTTGACCAATCCAGTGTCTGTGGTTTCTGATCCTCACCGTGACCTTTGTGAGTCATTATTCTGGTCCAGCGTTTCCATGGTTGCCATGGCGAGGGACATGGCTTTTATCACGTTACGTTTGTGTGGTTTAGAAGTTACGTACCCCAGCTTTAATCAAGGTATGCAACACACACTAGCTGGGGGCCACAGCAGACACTAGGGGCCATAGCAGACACCGGGGGCCACAGTAGGTGGGGGCCACAGCAGAGCCTACATGTGGCCCTAGACACCGCTGATGAAGTTGGGAGCAGTAAAATGTTCAGGTTGACGGCTCTCGTGTTGGAAGGTCATGTGTTCAGATCCCGGCACATTCTGCACATTCTGCACATTTACACACGCACGCACGCACACACACACACACAGGTTTTCAGACTTTTTTCCTTTTTTTTGCGATCACAAAAAAAGAAACAGAAAACCCTGTTCGAGGTCTGAGAGGAACACACCCTGGACACTAATAATAACTCAGATGTGTGTGTGTGTGTGTGTGTGTCTGTGTGTGTGTGTCTCTGTGTGTGTGCGTCTCTGTGTGTGTGCGTCCCTGTGTGTGTGTGTGTGTGTCTGTGCTGTGTGTGCGTGCGTCTGTGCTGTGTGTGTGTGCGTCCCTGTGTGTGTGTGTGCGTGTGTGTGTGTGCTGTGTGTGTGTGTCCCTGTGTGTGTACGTCCCTGTGTGTGTGTGCTGTGTGTGTGTGTCTGTGTGTGCTGTGTGTGTGCGTCCCTGTGTGTGTGTGCTGTGTGTGTGTGTCCCTGTGTGTGTACGTCCCTGTGTGTGCGTCCCTGTGTGTGTGTGTGTCCCTGTGTGTGTCTGTGTGCGTCTCTGGTCCAACCACAGACATGCCTGATCTCTGAGCCACAGTTGTTGAGGAGGTTTCTTCAGGATCATAATGATATTCATAAACATTTGTTTTTCAGACAAGTTCAGTCTTTTTAACTTTTACAGACTATAAAAACTATTTAAATGATCACAGCCCAAATGTTTGTAAAGTGAGGATGTGTAACTCTGGGTTCTAAGTCACTCTGAGGAAACGTGACATTTTAATTGTTTCCAGATTTAAAGCTGGGTTACCTACTTTTTCCCTCCATAACTCTGCTCATGTACTTTGTCTCGACAGAAAGATTCTTGTAGAAGTAAAATGTGAACAAATGAGACACATCCATCTGCCTCCATCTGCACTCATGTGGAGAGAGAGCCCAGTGAGTCACTTTTGGACTGTTTGGGTTCTGAGAGCTGATTGGCTGAGAGAATGAGGCCTCTTTCCCACTTTTCTGTCTTAAAAAGCGGATCTGAAGATGAGAGAGAGGCCAAAATGTGCATGAATCCTGACAGAAGCGAGCTAGAGAACTAGAGACAGGGATTTTTTTTGTAGTTTGGAAAGAAAAAAAATGTGTAGTCATTGTGGATAAATGTCATGATATTTATATCTATGTCTAATATTCACCATCGATACCATTATAGTAGGAAATAAACCCAGTCTGCCCCAGTCTGTCCCAGTCTGTCCCAGTCTGCCCCAGCCCCAGTCTGCCCCAGTCTGTCCCAGTAAACATCTCCAGGGCTAAGTCCGCTTTGGTCTTTCATGTATACACAAAAACACACACACAGGCGCAGCTTTAAATGGAACCAGGTCGGTCTGTGGTTTCTGTCTCAGTCCTGCAGACTTTGTGGGATGTGAACTCAGTGTGAATGTTCTGGGGCTGTTTAACGACAGCGTTTGTGGTTGGACTTTTCTTTTTGGACTGGAGAGGAGAGAGAAGGAGACAAAGCAGGGGGTTTCTCATGACATCCTCCACGTCTCACTCTGTACTTTCTCAGACGAGGCCATAAAGACACGGCTCAGACAATCACAGACTGGTCGGACTTTTAAAATATCTTATTTTTGCTCCTGGCTTCCTGTTTCTACATATGACTTGGTCGTTTGGGGTAAAGGCGGTCTCTTTGGTAATGAGGGCCTTTTTATGGACCTCTTTCATGTGAGTCATTTTGAAGTTCATTCATACATCTGCCTCAAAACAGAAAGGATTTAGACAGACAACATACAGTTACACACAACTTTATTGAAATCATGAACAAATCTGTTGCCAACCTAACTGAAAATGTGTTTTTTTGGTTTTGTTGCTGAAAAAGTCCAGTTCAAACCTCAGCGCTGTGGTTTGCGGCTGCTTTATTTAGCCTTGCATCTTGTTAAAGCAGAAGGAGGAAGCAGTCTGTCCCTGGACCAGCCTAACCAATGTGCAGACTACTGTACAACCACTACTTCCTGAACAGGTAGTCTGAACACTGGGCAGGCGAGCCGGGTCGAGCCGGGTTGAGGCGCCAAAGATAGATTCCATTTTGGGAACAAGCCTGGTCCTGGTTTGTCTTCTTTCATAGACCGTCTGGGATCAGGGCCGCGGCTGGTGAGGAGGGGAGGCCGAGGTGATGCCCGTGGATAGAAAAAACACACACACACACACACACACACACAGACAGGCACACACACACGCACAGACAGGCACACACAGACAGGCACACGCACACACACGCACACACACACACACAAACAGATACACACACAGACAGACACATTCAGACACACACACGCACACACAGACAGACACATACAGACACACACGCACACACAGACAGACACACACATACACACACAAGCTTCCCTGCTGGAAAGACTAGCATTGACCGGACTCCCTGAAGCACAAACACACACCGATCCCTGGGGAGTCTCTGTGTTTGTGTAGAGTAGATTCCACTACACAACTACACACAACAAATACATACACAGAGATAATACACATGACAATAGACATGGAGTTCAGACAGACACATGTGGCAGTGATGCAAAAATACTCAGGAATCGCTCACTCAGACCAGTGAGTGTCCGTGTTGCTAAAGAAACCCGTGACTAGGATCAGTACCTGGGCTCCTCCTGCCGCTCATGGGCTTCAGTCCTAGTTTCTCTTCCATCGCGGTGCGTCCCTCGTCCTCGCGTCCCTGGCCTCACGTTGCACATAAACTCTGGACATTTCAGTCTTTACCTCAAAGTTGAAGGAAGTCATTCGACGTGGCAAAAGCCAAAAGCCCGACCACCAAGTTTCTCCGGGAGCAGAAGCAGAAGAAAAGGGTTCAAAGAAGTGGAGTGGAGATAGGAGAGTGCGGTGGGCGGGGCCTAAATCTCCCCCATTTTTCCTCCTGCGGTCGCACACTGTTAGGCTTTGGGAGAGAAAGTGCTCAGTCAAAGGTGCACAGGAAGTGAGAGGCTTTTGTTTGTGTTTGTGTGGTCAAGTTTGGGGGAAGAAGATTTATTACGTCACAGTTATTAGGAAGCAGTAAGTAATGTTTAAATATGGAGCGCGTTTCACAGAGTCACATTTTTAGGATTAAACTTGGAGATGGAGATCCACAAGTTACTATTCAGCACTACATGTATATTAACCTGTTAGATTAATCAGCTTTGGCACTTATTTAAAGTGAGTCACGATAAAACCCTTGTGCATTATGCACTAGAGTAGAGTAGGGTAGGGCAGAGTAGGGTAGGGTAGAGTAGAGTAGGGTAGGGTAGAGTAGAGTAGGGTAGAGTAGAGTAGAGTAGGGTAGAGTATGGTAGGGTAGGGTAGGGTAGGGTAGGGTAGGGTAGAGTAGGGTAGAGTAGAGTAGAGTAGGGTAGGGTAGAGTAGAGTAGGGTAGAGTAGAGTAGAGTAGGGTAGGGTAGGGTAGAGTAGGGTAGGGTAGAGTAGGGTAGAGTAGAGTAGGGTAGGGTAGAGTAGGGTAGAGTAGAGTAGAGTAGGGTAGGGTAGAGTAGGGTAGAGTAGAGTAGGGCTGGTGGAAACAGGGCTTTATTTCTTCCATTGGGATATAGTAAAAGGTAAACTTATCTAATGCTGTATACAGTATATACTGTTGTAGTTATCTAGTCCATAAAAGAAAATGATTATTTATTAGATCAAAAGAGTTGTTTGAGACTGTAAAAAAGTAAAACACAAACTTCCAAAGGTTTTCCAAAGTCTTAGAGACCAGGTCCTGACCTCAGGGTCTGGTTTTGTTCTCGGGGATTCCAATAAATGTGAAGTAAATGTATGTTCTCTGTAATGGATGAGCCTGAGCGGGACTGGACCTGGGACTGGACCTGGGACTGGGACTGGGACTGGGACTGGACCTGGACCTGGGACTGGCTCCGTGGTCTCTGTAGCGGGTGAGGAATGTGTGCGTCTCGTTGGCGAGCGAGAGGAAGCTGTAACAGCTCCAGATGTGCTCTGTTTTTACTTCTACCATTATTTCCTCTGTCCCTGTTCAGGAGAAGAAAGAGCCCTTTATGCACAACGCACACACACACACACATACACGTAGACACACATGTAGACACACACACTCACACAGACACACACACACACACACACATACATGTAGACACACACACACACACACAGACACACACACACACATGTAGACACACACACTCACACAGACACACACACACATGTAGACACACACACTCACACAGACACACACACACACATGTAGACACACACACACATGTAGACACACACACATTCACACACATGTAGACACACACACTCACACAGACACACACACATGTAGACACACACACACTCACACATGTAGACACACACACACACACATGTAGACAAACACACACGCACATGTAGACACACACAGACACACATACACAGACACACACACACATGTAGACACACACACACACACGTAGACACACACACACACACACACACATGTAGACACACACACATGTAAACACACAGACACACACACACAGAAACACACACACACATGTAGACACGCACATGTAGACACACACATGTAGACACACACACACACAGATATAGACACACACACACATGTAGACTAGACACACACATGTAGACAAACACACACACACACACACACACACACACGCGGACACACACACACACACACACACACGTAGACACATACACACATGTAGACAAACACACACACACACACAAACACACACACAGACACACACACACACACAGGGCCTATAGAAGCAGGACTCTTCATCTCACACAGACTCACATCAGGTTCTGGTTTCACAATCTGAGGTTCCCGACCGCGGACGCACATTCTTCAGTCACGCTTTTGATCTCACATAAAACACACAACTAAAGACGTGTGTGTAGGACTTAGTGTACGTGAAGGTCATGCAGCCACTGTGGGGAGGAAGTACAAGGACTGAGGAGCAGAGGGACTGGCCTCCTGCTGGGACTCTGAGGAGCACAGGGACTGGTCTCCTGCTGGGACTCTGAGGAGCACAGGGACTGGGGTGTTCCTTTAGGTGGCCTGCTCTGGTCAGAACCGCCGTTCTAACTAATGGGCCAAAAATTGGGCTCTACTGGAGCTATCCAAAATGGCTGCGAGTGGTCCCGCCCACAAGAAAATTGTGAAAAAACTCATCTGTGCACGAGCTCCATTCATTTAAACGAGAGACTTCTAAAGTCCACAGCGACTAAACTAGACTGGTCCAGAACACTCCCCTCAGCATTGACACACATGTGGAACGGAGCTTTGGGCCAAGAGCCAACTTTTGGACCATCCTGTAAAGACGTTTTCCAGAGGTAAGAAGATGCTATATGTTAGCATTGGCTAATTCTTATTCCGGGTCCACCCCCACAGGCCCGGGGTGGTATTGCAGCATGTCAGCGCACGTCATTTTGGCCACTTTTGAGCCGGGACCCGCCCCCACTGGTCATGGCCCTCTCTGGTCATGGCCCGCTCTGGTCATGGCTCTGCTGGTCATGACCTGCTCTGGTCATGGCCCGCTCTGGTCATGGCTCTGCTGGTCATGACCTGCTCTGGTCATGGCCCGCTCTGGTCATGGCTCTGCTGTTCATGGCCCGCTCTGGTCATGGCCCGCTCTGGTCATGTCCCGCTCTGGTCATGGCCCGCTCTGGTCATGGCCCGCTCTGGTCATGGCTCTGCTGGTCATGGCCTGCTCTGGTCATGGCCCGCTCTGGTCATGGCCCGCTCTGGTCATGGCCCGCTCTGGTCATGGCTCTGCTGGTCGCTGCTCGGTGCGTTTCCAGGTGCGCGGCGGCGGCGGTCTAGTGTTTTCTTTAGCTTCAGTTTCTAAAACCCTGGACCAAAGCATCTCTGGAGACACAATGGAAAACTGAGGGAAAGCGAAGCACAAGAGCGAAATGAAACGATAGAAGCAAAAGTCGGCACAAAACACTAAATGTGTTAGTTTCATCTGTGAAGAAGGGACTTATTTATCAGAATCAGCAACAGCAGCAAAACAGAAAAGTTATTGTTGTTTCAAAAATGCACCAACTTTTCAAATGATTCTGTGGCTTCCATTTTGTGCGAACAGTTGGTCTCTCTCTGGTCTCTCTCTCTCTGGTCTCTCTCTCTGGTCTCTCTCTCTCATGTCTCTCTGTTCTCTCTCTCTCTCTCTGGTCTCTCTCTCTCATGTCTCTCTGTTCTCTCTCTCTCTCTCTCTGGTCTCTCTCTCTCATGTCTCTCTGTTCTCTCTCTCTCTCTCTGGTCTCTCTCTCTGGTCTCTCTCTCTGGTCTCTCTCTCTGGTCTCTCTCTCTCTCGTCTCTCTTTCTCTGGTCTGTAGGTTTCTAGTCTCACACGACAAATTTCCAGAATGTGTTCTTGTTACGTTTTGGGTTTGGGGATTGGAAGAAGTGAATGTTAATGGCTGGGCGGGGGAGGCCGGGGGAGGGTGGGGGAGGTCTGCGTTCGCCCCAACATTGTTTCCACTGTTTGGATGACTCGGCAGCAGCTCCGACCTCTTCGTCAGAAAAATCAGAAACAGAGAAAGCAGTTCTTGCAGCGAGGGCCCGGGATCATAACGAGCCACTGAGGGCTCAGGATCATAACGAGTCACTGAAGGCTCGGGATCATAACGAGTCACTGAGGGCCCGGGATCATAACGAGTCACTCAAGGCCCGGGATCATAATGAGTCACTGAAGGCCCGGGATCATAATGAGTCACTGAGGGCCTGGGATCATAATGAGTCACCGAAGGCCCGGGATCATAACGAGTCACTGAGGGCCCGGGATCATAACGAGTCACTGAAGGCCCGGGATCATAACGAGTCACTGAAGGCCCGGGATCATAACGAGTCACTGAAGGCCCGGGATCATAACGAGTCACTGAGGGCCTGGGATCATAACGAGTCACTGAAGGCCCGGGATCATAACGAGTCACTGAGGGCCCGGGATCATAACGAGTCACTGAGGGCTCGGGATCATAACGAGTCACTGAGGGCCCGAGATCATAACGAGTCACTGAAGGCTCGGGATCATAAGGAGTCACTGAGGGCCCGGGATCATAACGAGTCACTGAGGGCCCATGATCATAACGAGTCACTGAAGGCCCGGGATCATAACGAGTCACTCAAGGCTCGGAATCATAACGAGTCACTGAAGGCCCGGGATCATAACGAGTCACTGAAGGCCCGGGATCATAATGAGTCACTGAGGGCCTGGGATCATAATGAGTCACTGAGGGCCTGGGATCATAATGAGTCACTGAGGGCCCGGGATCATAACGAGTCACTGAAGGCCCGGGATCATAACGAGTCACTGAAGGCCCGGGATCATAACGAGTCACTGAAGGCCCGGGATCATAATGAGTCACTGAGGGCCTGGGATCATAATGAGTCACTGAGGGCCCGGGATCATAACGAGTCACTGAAGGCCCGGGATCATAACGAGTCACTGAAGGCCCGGGATCATAACGAGTCACTGAAGGCCCGGGATCATAACGAGTCACTGAGGGCCTGGGATCATAACGAGTCACTGAGAGCCCGGGATCATCCTGCTCTAAACTCTGAAGTTCAGCCCAAACATACTCCTCTCGTGTTTCTGTGAGACATGTTTGATTTAACACAATATACTGTAACTAGAACACAGCTAAGCTAATGCTAACTGATGCTAGTAAAAAGAGTGTTGCTATGGTAACTAGCACTTGAATTTACTCTAGAACTCCCTGGACTGATCCTGGACTGGTCCTGCTCTGGTCCTGGACTGGTCTTGAACTAGTCCTGGACTGGTCTTTGACTTGTCTTGGACTGGTTTTGGACTGATCCTGGACTGTTCTTGGACTGGTCTTGGACTAGTTTTGGACTGATCCTGGACTGTTCTTGGACTGGTCTTGGACTAGTTTCGGACTGATCCTGGACTGGTCTTGGACTAGCTCACAGCTGTTTCTTGGTTTTCCACCACAGACCGGGCCATAGTTTCCATAGCAACGCTCTGTTTGCAGCGTTCAGCCTTTAGCTGTTTTTGACGCTTATTAAAGGTTTGTTTGGAGAGGTTTCTCAGATACTGAGGCGTAATGGAAACACAGCAGAGATGGGTAGAGTAGGGTAGGGTTGAGTAGGGTAGAGTAGAGTAGAGTAGGGTAGAGTAGGCTAGGGTTGGGTAGGGTAGAGTAGGGCAGGGTAGGGTAGAGTAGAGTAGAGTAGAGTAGAGTAGAGTAGAGTAGAGTAGAGTAGAGTAGGGTAGAGTAGGGTAGGGTTGGGTAGGGTAGAGTAGGGCAGGGTAGGGTAGAGTAGAGTAGAGTAGGGTAGAGTAGGGTAGGGTTGGGTAGGGTAGAGTAGGGCAGGATAGGGTAGGGTAGAGTAGAGTAGGGTAGGGTTGGTAAGGGTAGAGTAGGGTAGGGTAGAGTAGAGTAGAGGATGGTAGAGTAGAGTAGAGTAGAGTAGGGTAGAGTAGGCTAGGGTTGGGTAGGGTAGAGTAGTTTTAACTGTTGATTCTCTGACCTGTGTTGGTGATTTCAATGGTTTTGTTAAGTCCTCTGAGATGACTTCTGTTGTGACCTAGGGCTATACAAGAATAAATTGTATTGTGTATTGTATAGTAGGGTAGTGTAGAGTAGGGCAGGGTAGGGTAGGGTAGAGTAGAGTAGAGTAGGGTAGGGTTGGGTAGGGTAGAGTAGGGCAGGGTAGGGTAGGGTAGAGTAGAGTAGAGTAGGGTAGGGTTGGTAAGGGTAGAGTAGGGTAGGGTAGAGTAGAGTAGAGTAGGGTAGAGTAGGGTAGGGTAGGGTAGAGTAGGGCAGGGTAGGGTAGGGTAGAGTAGGGCAGGGTAGGGTAGGGTAGAGTAGAGTAGGGCAGGGTAGGGTAGGGTAGAGTAGGGCAGGGTAGGGTAGGGTAGAGTAGAGTAGGGTAGAGTAGGGCAGGGTAGGGTAGGGTAGAGTAGAGTAGAGCTGGTGGAAACCAAGCTATATTCCATAATCAAATACAAAACAACATGAAGAAACTATAACATTTAAAATATTAAATATTAAAATATTAAATGTAAGAATGTTAGGTTAAAACATTTAAAATGTTAAATATTAAAATATTAAATGTAAGAATGTTAGGTTAAAACATTTAAAATATTAGTGAAATGTGTCGGTGAAAGTGGCTTTAGCTCCAACACCTTCACTCGTCTCCCAGGTTTTTTTTGAGTGTTTCCCATTTGTCAGACAAGAAGTGTGCATTTTCCCATGTGTTTATGTGGTTACCCCCCCTCCCCCCCTCACCCCCCCTTCCGTCTCTTTGGTGGTCACTGGTGATTGATCACATGTCGTGGCAGGTTGTAACTGAGCCAGAGAGCGTCAATTAACTTTTTTAGCAATTAGCCGCTAAACAGGAAGGTATCAGTGCAGCGCGACCCTGCAGACACCGCACGAACCTCATTTCACATTTTTACAAGTTTATTTTGGTTTGGTCCCAGAAGAGCCGCCGTGAAACTCACAGACGCCATAAACTCATTTGTAGGAGTTTCCCAAACCCTATGAGCTGCTGCGTTCAGAGACTGCACTGAACACACTTCAAAGGTGGAGAACACACTAAACATTGAATTAAATGTAACGTGTTTATCGTCGACTCAATCTACAACGTTGTCCATTCTTTTAAAAACAAATCAGAGAATCAAGAAGTTCAAACACAGGAAATGCATAATAAACACAACAGTAACAAACATGTTAATAAATGTTATTATATAATACAATTATACAATAATATTCCTTTTGGAAATTTACTATCTTGAACTTAGAAGCCGGTTCATTGGGGCAAGGGCTATAGAATGGAAGGTCAATGTAAGGGGGAGAGAGGGGAGAGAAGAAGAAAGAGGGGAGAGAAGGAGAAAGAGGGGAGAGAAGGAGAGGGGAGAGAAGGAGAGAAGGAGAGAGAGGGGAGAGAAGGAGAAAGAGGGGAGAGAAGGAGAAAGAGGGGAGAGAAGGAGAGAGAGGGGAGAGAAGGAGAGAGAGGGGAGAGAGGGGAGAGAAGGAGAGAGAGGGGAGAGAGGGGAGAGAAGAGGAGAGAAGGAGAGAGAGGGGAGAGAAGGAGAGAGAGGGGAGAGAAGGAGAGAGAGGGGAGAGAGAGGGGAGATCAGGAGAGAGAGGGGAAAGGAGGAGAGAGAGGGGAGAGAAGGAGAGAGAGGGGAGAGAAGGAGAGAGAGGGGAAAGGAGGAGAGAGAGGGGAGAGAAGGAGAGAGAGGGGAGAGAAGGAGAGAGAGGGGAAAGGAGGAGAGAGAGGGGAGAGAAGGAGAGAGAGGGGAAAGGAGGAGAGAGAGGGGAGAGAAGGAGAGAGAGGGGAGAGAAGGAGAGAGAGGGGAGAGAAGGAGAGAGAGGGGAAAGGAGGAGAGAGAGGGGAGAGAAGGAGAGAGAGGGGAGAGAAGGAGAGAGAGGGGAAAGGAGGAGAGAGAGGGGAGAGAAGGAGAGAAGGAGAGAGAGGGGAGAGAAGGAGAGAGAGGGGAGAGAAGGAGAGGGGAGAGGAGGAGAAAGAGGGGAGAGAAGGAGAGAGAGGGGAGAGAATTAGGTGAGAGAGGGGAGAGAAGGAGAGAGAGTGGAGAGAGGGGAGAGAAGGAGAGAGAGGGGAGAGAAGGAGAGAGAGGGGAGAGAAGGAGAAAGAGGGGAGAGAAGGAGAGAAGGGGAGAGAAGGAGAGAGAGGGGAGAGAAGGAGAGAGAGGGGAGAGAAGGAGAGAGAGGGTAAAGGAGGAGAGAGGGGAGAGAAGGAGAGAGAGGGGAAAGGAGGAGAGAGAGGGGAGAGAAGGAGAGAGAGGGGAGAGAAGGAGAGAGAGGGGAGAGAAGGAGAGAGAGGGGAAAGGAGGAGAGAGAGGGGAGAGAAGGAGAGAGAGGGGAGAGAAGGAGAGAGAGGGGAGAGAAGGAGAGAGAGGGGAAAGGAGGAGAGAGAGGGGAGAGAAGGAGAGAGAGGGGAGAGAAGGAGAGAAGGAGAGAGAGGGGAGAGAAGGAGAGAGAGGGGAGAGAAGGAGAGAGAGGGGAGAGAAGGAGAAAGAGGGGAGAGAAGGAGAGAGAGGGGAGAGAAGGAGAGAGAGGAGAGAGAGGGGAAAGGAGGAGAGAGAGGGGAGAGAAGGAGAGAGAGGGGAGAGAAGGAGAGAGAGGGGAAAGGAGGAGAGAGAGGGGATAGAAGGAGAGAGAGGGGAAAGGAGGAGAGAGAGGGGAGAGAAGGAGAGAGAGGGGGAGAGAAGGAGAGAAGGAGAGAGAGGGGAAAGGAGGAGAGAGAGAGGGGAGAGAAGGAGAGAGAGGGGAGAGAAGGAGAGAAGGAGAGAGAGGGGAGAGAAGGAGAGAGAGGGGGGAGAGAAGGAGGGAGAGGGGAGAGAAGGAGAGAGAGGGGAGAGAAGGAGAAAGAGGGGAGAGAAGGAGAGAGAGGGGAGAGAAGGAGAGAGAGGAGAGAGAGGGGAAAGGAGGAGAGAGAGGGGAGAGAAGGAGAGAGAGGGGAGAGAAGGAGAGAGAGGGGAAAGGAGGAGAGAGAGGGGAAAGGAGGAGAGAGAGGGGAGAGAAGGAGAGAGAGGGGAGAGAAGGAGAGAGAGGGGAGAGAGGGGAGAGAAGGAGAGAGAAGGAGAGAGAGGGGAGAGAAGGAGAGAGAGGGGAAAGGAGGAGAGAGAGGGGGAGGACTTGTGAAAATTGCCGTTGGCTGCCACCCAGGGCCCGGTCTTTGTGGTAATGAAGGGTTAGAAGCAACATTATTGCTCCCAGATGCCGTGCGGCTTCTCTGCAGCTCTTTGAAGCACTCGGTCCGAAAACCCGCGCTGTTCTATCAGACCCACAAAGCACCACACCACAGCCTCTGACTACACAACGACACACACGGTTTGTCTTTTCCAGGTTTTCATGCTCTGAAAAACAAGCCTGATTTGTTTAGTGTTAATTAGCAAAAGCCGCTCAGACGTGTTAGCGCGCGCACGTGTTAGCGGGCGCACGTGTTGGCGTGGAATTGCGTGCCGTGCTTTTCCCAGAGACGTGTTTTCGTCTCTGATGTCAGCAGTGAACTCATGAGGCTGAGAGAGAGCACTGTCACTGATAAAAGTGAACGGCTAGACTCGGACGAGGAGATAGACCCGCGCTAGACTCGGATGAGGAGAGAGACCCGCGCTAGACTCGGACAAGGAGAGAGACCCGCGCTAGACTCGGACGAGGAGAGAGACCCGCGCTAGACTCGGACGAGGAGATAGACCTGCGCTAGACTCGGATGAGGAGAGAGACCCGCGCTAGACTCGGACGAGGAGAGAGACCCGCGCTAGACTCGGACAAGGAGAGAGACCCGCGCTAGACTCGGACGAGGAGAGAGACCCGCGCTAGACTCGGACGAGGAGATAGACCTGCGCTAGACTCGGATGAGGAGAGAGACCCGCGCTAGACTCGGACGAGGAGAGAGACCCGCGCTAGACTCGGACAAGGAGAGAGACCCGCGCTAGACTCGGACGAGGAGATAGACCAGCGCTAGACTCGGACGAGGAGAGAGACCCGCGCTAGACTCGGATGAGGAGAGAGACCCGCGCTAGACTCGGACAAGGAGAGAGACCCGCGCTAGACTCGGACAAGGAGAGAGACCAGCGCTAGACTCGGACGAGGAGAGAGACCTGCGCTAGACTCGGATGAGGAGATAGACCCGCGCTAGACTCGGACGAGGAGAGAGACCCGCGCTAGACTCGGACAAGGAGATAGACCCGCGCTAGACTCGGATGAGGAGAGAGACCTGCGCTAGACTCGGATGAGGAGAGAGACCCGCGCTAGACTCGGACGAGGAGATAGACCCGCGCTAGACTCGGACAAGGAGAGAGACCCGCGCTAGACTCGGACGAGGAGAGAGACCCGCGCTAGACTCGGACGAGGAGATAGACCTGCGCTAGACTCGGATGAGGAGAGAGACCCGCGCTAGACTCGGACGAGGAGAGAGACCCGCGCTAGACTCGGACAAGGAGAGAGACCCGCGCTAGACTCGGACGAGGAGAGAGACCCGCGCTAGACTCGGACAAGGAGAGAGACCCGCGCTAGACTCGGACGAGGAGATAGACCTGCGCTAGACTCGGACGAGGAGATAGACCTGCGCTAGACTCGGATGAGGAGAGAGACCCGCGCTAGACTCGGACGAGGAGAGAGACCCGCGCTAGACTCGGACAAGGAGAGAGACCCGCGCTAGACTCGGACGAGGAGAGAGACCAGCGCTAGACTCGGACGAGGAGAGAGACCCGCGATAGACTCGGATGAGGAGAGAGACCCGCGCTAGACTCGGACGAGGAGAGAGACCCGCGCTAGACTCGGACGAGGAGAGAGACCTGCGCTAGACTCGGATGAGGAGAGAGACCTGCGCTCACTAAAGAACAAAAACGAGTAGTTATTGTGTGTTTGTTTGTGTTGCTCAGTTTTGTGCTGAACAAAACAAGACACGATCACAGTTCCTTAAAAAGAATAAAGATACACTCCCTCAGATGTAGCACAGCTAATCCTGTCTCACATTCTCAGGAAGACTGCTCCAGATTATAGATGCATGAATCTGAAACACTGCCTCCTCATGTTTAGTCCTGATTCTGGGACCAGCAGGAGGCCAGTCCCTGTGCTCCTCAGGGTCCCAGCAGGAGGCCAGTCCCTGTGCTCCTCAGGATCCCAGCAGGAGGCCAGTCCCTGTGCTCCTCAGATTCCCAGCATGAGGCCAGTCCCTATGCTCCTCAGAGTCCCAGCAGGAGGCCAGTCCCTGTGCTCCTCAGAGTCCCAGCAGGAGGCCAGTCCCTATGCTCCTCAGAGTCCCAGCAGGAGGCCAGTCCCTGTGCTCCTCAGAGTCACCTGGATGTGGGTCTCCAGGGTATTATTTTTTATCCTGAAACATACTTTTTATGGGATATGACCGTTTGGTTCCACCGCTCATAAAGGCTTTGATGCAGCAGCTCCACCTCTCTCCCCCCCCTCCCGCCCTCTCCCCCTCCTCTCCCCACCCTGTGCCTGGGCAGGGCTGGGTCAGTGGTTAGCCGACCAGAGGCCATTTTAAGGTCCTAGTTACAGCCTTGGGCTAAAGCTGCTGTTTGCATGTTCTCTCAGTGAGAGCTCAGTCTTAAAATAACATCTGTCCCACACACACAGGACACCCTGGGTTCACAGCCCGTCCCACACACACAGAACACACTGGGTTCACAGCCCGTCCCACACACACAGAACACACTGGGTTCACAGCCCGTCCCACACACACACACAGGACACACTAGGTTCACGGCCCGTCCCACACACACAGGACACACTGGGTTCACAGCCCGTCCCACACACACAGAACACACTGGGTTCACAGCCCGTCCCACACACGCAGGACACCCTGGGTTCACAGCCCGTCCCACACACACAGGACACACTGGGTTCACAGCCCGTCCCACACACACATAGGACACACTGGGTTCACAGCCCGTCAGTACATCTACTCCCTCGTCTTCTTCTTCTTGGTCGTCACACTTTGCATCAGTGAAAAATAGATGACTGTTTTTATGGATTTCAACTCATGCAGAGATTTTATTTTGTGTGGTTTGAAAGTTAAGTACCCCAGCTTTAAATAAACAACAATGTTGATCTGTTTTGATATAATTTAGTAGCGATGTAGTTAGAATTGGGGCTGTACCTTTTGAACCATTCTGTTTAGCCTGGTCCTTACTGGTCCTTATTGGCAGGCCCGTCGCAAGGGGGGTGCGAGGCCCTGTGCGAACTCGAAACGCGAGGCCCTGCCCTGACACTTTTTTCCCAGATCTGAGGAAAGTTTTTCCTGTTATAATCTTTGACATGAATTCAGCACCACCTCGCGCGGTGCTTGACGAGATCAGCACGCGTGTAACCGAGTGTCTTCGCTCCTATGCAGCGTTTGGCGCGCGCACGTACACACGCACACACTCTACGTGCAATATTAGTCGCGGTCTTTTTAGCTGACATGTCTCTTTCGTCCTGTGGCAAAATGGTAGAGCAACTCAAAAGATTGAACCAAAAGGAGTCTTTTTCTTCTAATAGTTAGATTTTGGCAAAATGCGCCAAAATGGCTATGAGGCGGAGTCAATATTATTTTTTTCTCATCAAATAACGTTTTTGCCATGCCTCCACACACTCTGACAACATACGCTCCTCCTCCTCCACACTGACAACAACAAAATACTCTTCACCTCCTCCTCCACACACTCTGACCACAACAAAAACACTCCAGCTAGCTAAAGCTAGACATACAGTGTGTTTGCTAATGCTTTTAAAAATATGTTTTTGATGTGGATATTCGGACTAAACATTGGCAATAGCAGCGCTCACACACCTGTCACACCGCTGATCCTCCTCCTCCTCCTCTGCTCACACAAAGGGGTCTGCTCCTCTGCTCACACCTGTCTCACTGCTCCTCCTCCGCGAGTATCCATCTCTCCTACACTGCGATCATTCCCGTTACTTTCTTTGTATCTCACTCAGACACTGCTAAAGTTATCTGACAGTTTTTTCGGAGGACCCGCTGCATACATAGCTGCCCGCGCGCCTGCCTGTTTACAAATCGCTTTTGGTGAAAATTTGACTTTACTTGTAAAAATGTTCTTTTGATCAAACGAAATCAAAGAGGTCCAGAGAAAGGGGTTTAGGGTTCCAAATTTGGAGTGCAGTCTGCCCTTTGGGGACCCTTGAACTAGTGTATTTATAAAATAAAATAAAAGGAAGGAAGATTGCGAGGCCCCTGTGTGGTGCGAGGCCCTGTGCGACGGCACAGGTCGCACAGCCCTTCCGACGGGCCTGCTTACTGGTCCTTACTGGTCCTTACTGGAGTTCCACACAGACGTTGTCCATCGCGTTTATATGCCAATGTTTATTTTTGTCATTTATTTTCACTTATCATGTATGGAAGCCCGTTTCCGCCATGTAAAAAAAAAAAAGCATACAGAAAGTCAAAATTATGCTTTAAAACTCAAAATTACGACTTTAAAAGTCAAAGTTACAACTTTAAAAGTCAAAATTACGACTTTAAACGTCAAAATTTCAACTTTAAAAGTCAAAATTACGACTTTAAAAGTCAAAATTTCGACTTTAAAAGTCAAAATTTCGACTTTAAAAGTCAAAATTACGACTTTAAAAGTCAAAATTTCGACTTTAAAAGTCAAAATTACGACTTTAAAAGTCAAAGTTACGACTTTAAAAGTCAAAATTACGAGTTTTCAACTGCGCATGTGCAGTTGAAAACTCGCAAGTGTTGTTGTCTGGAACGGTCTCTGGACGTCCTTCACCTGCAGATTATGTGAAGATATTGCCGACAGTGACCACTGCATCCATGAAGTAGCCAGAAATAATGTTGTTTGATTGATTCTGTAAAACTTTCCTGTTTAAGCCCCAGACCGCGGTCGTAGGACGCAGGAGGAGCTGTCTTTTTATTTATTTATGTTAAATTCAATTTACATTTATACAACATTTAAATCAAACGACTTCTTATTTCGACATAGTAACAAATAATGTGAGCAATATGTTTTTATAATAAATCAAAGGAAAATGAGCCATCGAGACATTCCAATCCAATCTGCTATACCCCACTCTGACCAGACAATGACGCTGAGAGGGGTCCACACGGAGCGAGTCTGTCCACGGCTGAAAGGATGAGCTTTCTACGTGTTAAGTACGGGGTTTTATTCATGCATCTATAATGGGTTTAAGTCCCTTTTCAAAGACCCTCACTGTTGTCTGTGGAGTTATTTCTCCGGATTGTTGCTAAAAGTATGAAGGTTATTTTGTTTTGTTTTTATTATCAACATTTTTTTTGCTTTTGAATTCTATAAACTGTAACAAAAAAGTATTCAGTGTAAATAAATTCAGTGTTTTAAAATTCAGTGTCAAAATATTCAATGTTGAAAAAAATTCAGTGTCCAAAAATTCATAGCATTTTTTTTCGCTGCTTGAAATTTCATACTTTATTTCCGGGTAAATCAAGACAGTGGCTACATCTGTGAAGGATTAGCTGATCGATTGCTTCATTCTTGATTTACCCGTAAATAAAGCATGACATTTCAAGCAGCGAAAAAAAAAGCTACGAATTTTTTTCAACATTGAATTTTTCGACACTGAATTTTAAAACATTGAATATTTTGACACTGAATTTTAAAACATTGAATTCATTTACACTGAATACTTTTTTGTTACAGTTTATAGAATTCAAAAGCAAAAAAAAGTGTTGATAATAAAAACACAAAATAACTTTCATATAAAAGAGGCTTTATTTTGTCACAATAAAATAACCAGACAAGGCACTTATTCCCTGTATGTCTCTGTGTTCTTGCTCATACGCCAACAACTTTACCCGCACGCTCGCTCCATCAGACCGAGGTGAAGTTAGCCGAACGTTTGATATTCGCCTGATATTCGAACAAAATCCCCCTGGATTCAAAGTCTGTCCATATTTTCAGTTTAGTGAAGAGTGTAGTATTAAATACTGTTCACAATGTTGCCACCTATCAAAAAAAAACTTGACTTAGGCTGCAGCTGACAATTTATAACACGAAAAACAATGAAGATGAAGTCTCCGCTCATACGTGTGCGAAGCTCTCAACAAGGGACTGTCTGCAAAGTGCAAGATTTGACAGAACGTTGCAGATGGGTTGGTGAATACAATAAAAAGGGTGTGTTTGAAAAGTAAATGTTCCCAGTTTTGATAGGTGTAGTAGCTCCCACTGAATGATAGCTAGCTACTACAGGCAAAATTAGGGAAAAATATTGTTTCCCCCTTCACAGTAACGAAAATGAAATTGGAAAAGTTAACTAAAAATCAACAAAGATCATTTTCCCAGTTTTGATGGGTGTAGTAGCTCCATTTGAACAATAGCTAGCTACTGCATACAAGAATTTGGAAATATATATATACAGTGGGGCAAAAAAGTATTTAGTCAGCCACCGATTGTGCAAGTTCTCCCACTTAAAATAATGACAGAGGTCTGTAATTTTTATCATAGGTTCACTTCAACTGTGAGAGACAGAACGTGAAAAAAAATCCAGGAATTCACATTGTAAGATTTTTAAAGAATTTATTTGTAAATCATGGTGGAAAATAAGTATTTGGTCACTTCAAACAAGGAAGATCTCTGGCTCTCACAGACCTGTAACTTCTTCTTTAAGAAGCTCTTCTGTCCTCCACTCGTTACCTGTATTAAATGGCACCTGTTTGAACTCATCTGTATAAAAGACACCTGTCCACAGCCTCAAACAGTCAGACTCCAAACTCCACTATGGCCAAGACCAAAGAGCTGTGGAAAGGACACCAGGATAGGAATTGTAGACCTGTACCAGACCTTTAAAGAGTGAATCTACAATAGGCAAGCAGCTTGGTGTGAACAAATCTGTGGGAGCAATTATCGGAAAATGGAAGACATACAAGACCACTGATAATCTCCCTCGATCTGGGGCTCCACGCAAGATCTCATCCCGTGGGGTCAAAATGATCATGAGAACGGTGATCAAAAATCCCAGAACCACACGGGGGGACCTGGTGAATGACCTGCAGAGAGCTGGGACCAAAGTAACAAAAGTTACCATCAGTAACACACTACGACGACAGGGAATCAAATCCTGCAGTGCCAGACGTGTCCCCCTGCTGAAGCCAGTGCATGTCCAGGTCCGTCTGAAGTTTGCCAGAGAGCACATGGATGATACAGCAGAGGATTGGGAGAATGTCATGTGGTCAGATGAAACCAAAGTAGAACTGTTTGGTATAAACTCAACTCGTCGTGTTTGGAGGAAGAAGAATACTGAGTTGCATCCCAAGAACACCATACCTACTGTGAATACTGTGAAGCATGGGGGTGGAAACGTCATGCTTTGGGGCTGTTTTTCTGCTAAGGGGACACGACGACTGATCTGTGTTAAGGAAAGAGCCAAAACCTCCTTCCATCAGCGAGAGCTTTGAAGATGAAACGTGGCTGGGTTTTCCAGCATGACAATGATCCCAAACACACCGCTCGGGCAACGAAGGAGTGGCTCCGTAAGAAGCATTTGAAAGTCCTGG